GAAAACAACTCTTCAAAATTAATAGGAAGATTCGCCATAATTCTCGCTATAGTGAACGACTTTTTTCTCATTATTTAGCGACAATTTTCATCATTCCGTTTTGGTTTTGTATGTATCCCAGACAGCACAATGACGTCTTAAAGATGTCTTCAAGACGTCGACTCAAGACGTTAGAGACATCTTGAAGACGTCCAGTCAAATCTCAAAGAGGTCCATAAGACGTCTTCAAGACGTCCGTTGTTACAAAATCGGACGTCTTGAAGATGTCTTTATTACGTCCAGTCGAACATAATCTGGACGTCCTAAAGACGTTTCCAGAAAGTAAGAAGACGTCCCAAAGACGTCTTTAAGACGTCAACCCAAGGCATTCTGGACGTCTTCAAGACGTACAGTAAAATCTTGAAGACGTCCATAAGACGTCTTGATGACGTCTGTTGTTACAAAATTAGACGTCTCTAAGATGCCTTCATTATATCCAATCGAACATAAACTGGACGTTCTAAAACCGTTTTTTTAATGTTTGATATAATCATTTGTGCTATAAAATAAATTTGCTACGAATGAAGATTTTATTAACAAGGTAGTAATGTAAGGTATTACATAAATAGTTGAAAATTTCAGCGTCGATGGCTCCCCTTCACTGAGAGCTCTTTTGTATGTTTTGCTGTCTTTAAATGGCGGCCAAAACACTTCCTTTTTCAACGGCGTCAGCCAAGTTTCGTGAACAACAGCTACACTCTGTTGTTTCCACTGTCATTAAATTGTATTACACAATACATCCTGAATACTTTCACGTGAAAAACAGACTGTATAGAAATACCACTCAAACACTTAACATTTTAACATTCTTAACAAATTCACTGGCACAGACGCCGTTCACAAACAACACCCAATCGAACATGGACGATGGACAATGAACATGAACGGGAACGCACCATGCACGATGCAAGCTTGACGCTGAACCACAGAACGGACCGCTGAACGGCACTAACGCCACTAACGGCAGTCGCAAGATGGTTGCGAGTCGCATACACAATTTCTTCGCGTAATTACTTGATCGCCATTGGCCATCTGGTCGGTAAGTGAGAATTGTCTTTGGCGCTAAATTTGAACATTGAAAATCAAGGGAAGCCTATGGAATAAAGTACATTTTTATCATACATTTATACAGTTATTTGGATAAATTAATTAATTTATTATATAACTTAGTTTTCCTATACATACATGATAATAATAATAATAATAATAATAATAATAATAATAATAATAATAAAAATAATAATAATAATAGTAATAATAATAATGATAATGATAATGATAATAATACCCAAAAAAATATGAAGACCATAGATTGACGTCTATACGACGTCAAACAGTGACTGTCCATAAGACGTCACATTAATGACGTCCGCATGACGTCATTATTTGGTCAAAAGACGTATGAGACCAAAAAAGACCTTAGATAGCGGTCCTATAGACGTCACATTCGTCAGTCTGGCTACCTGGGTATATACGTCCTTCAGCAGACATCTCTGGGACATACTGGAACAGACGTCTGAAAGATGTCCATTCTATGCCTGTGGAACTTCTTTGGCAAAGGTTAGAACCAAATAATTCCACCAAAATAATCAACAATAATCATTCATTCTGAATCGAAATCGAATATACTGCCCCTTTCACAAAAAATTCGATTCTACAGATCGAATATTTCTGGACTTCAATAAGACATCTTTAGGACATCCATTTCTGGACGTCTCTGAGATGTCCTACAGCAGACGTATTAAAAACATCAATTACAAGACATATCTGGGACGTACTGAAACAGACGTCTAAAAGATGTCCATTCTATGCCTGTGAAACTTAATTGGCGAAGATTAGAACCACATAATTCCACACAAAAAATCAGCAATAATAATTCGTTCTGAATCAAAATTGAATATTCTGCTTCTTTCACAAAAACTTCGATTCTACTGATAAAATATTTCTGGACTTCAATAACACATCTTTAGGACATCCATTTCTTGACGTCTGTGAGACGTCCTAAGATAGACGTCTTCAAGACGTCTATTTTATGCCTGTGGACGTTCAGGCATTATATGGACATAAAATGGACGTCTTTCAGACGTCCGGTGCCGTGTGGGATATAATTATCATTCTCGACACAAAAATCACATGATCAAAATATCTTCAAAAAATTATATTATTTCAACAATGTGAAAAAAGCTGGATTTCTGACATATTGCATTATCTCCTGAAAAAACGCTCAATCAATGTGAAAAACAATAGAATTCCGAGACGTAGTAAATCGAGTTCAAATATCGCATGATCTACCCTGAAAACGCTTTGATTTAGAGACAAAATCACTGAGACGGCACACACACACTGCACGTTAATTGTTGGGCAAGAGGGGCAATAGTGGTATAGGTACAGTTGAATAGTTCGCAGACAGCCCTGGACATTCCTAGAATTTTCTCTGAAAGCGAAGCGAATAAAGCCTCTGGAATATCCAAATAATATTGAAATTTGGATATTCTACTAATATTCCAAAAAAATATACACAGAATATTCCAGAAGGAATATTCAAAGATGGATACTCCAAGAATATAGTTGGATAGTTTAGGGAATATTTAGGTATGAATATTCCAGGAATATTATCGACTGAATATTCTGATTTGTGAATTCCATGTGTTTCAATGAAATAAAGTAGTAGTAGTATACAGGGTGTTATTTAAGTACGTGGCCAAACTTGAAAGGGTGATTCTTTGAGTGATTCTAAGACGAAAAGTTCATATAAACATGGGTCCGGTAATGCTTCGTTTTCAAGATACAGGATGTCAAAATTTTTAAAAGAAATCGTTTTTTTCGTAAATATCTTAATAACCCTTCAACCGATTTCATTGAAATTTGGCAGTGTTATTCAAGGTCGTAAAGGGCTAATTTAAACCTAACTATATCAAAATTATCATGTCCAGTGGCGTCCCGGAAGGCACTGTAACCAATATTTTTGACAGAAAAAATGTGCGCCACTGATTTTTTTGCAATTTTTGTATTTGTTTCACATTGAGAAACTAAAATTACAACTTTTTTATATCTAGAATTTTTTTCGTATCTTGCTTTGTTTTTGAGAAAAAACATAAAAATCTCATTGCACATCCCTGTGACGAGCCGAAGGCAAATGCTGCAATTCATATATACATATTTTTTGTTTTTTTATTGCATTAATTTTGATAGAAAATTCCAAGACTAGAATAGAGTATTAATATTAGTAAGACCCCAGTTTTTGATGGTTTAGTAGTTGAAATGTTTTATTGTGTTGTCACAGGGATGTGCAATGAAGTGATTTTTATGTTTTTTCCCAAAAACAAAGCAAGATACGAAAAAAAATCTGGATATAAAAAAGTTGGAATTTCAGTTGCTTAATGTGAAACAAATACAAAAATTGCAAAAAAATCAGTGGCGCACATTTTTTCTGTCAAAAATATTGGTTACAGTGCCTTCCGGGACGCCACTGGACATGATAATTTTGATATAGTTAGGGTTAAATTAGCCCTTTACGACCTTGAATAACACTGCCAAATTTCAATGAAATCGATTGAAGGGTTATTAAGATATTTAGGAAAAAAACGATTTCTTTTAAAAATTTTGACACCCTGTATCTTGAAAACGGAGCATTACCGGACCTATGTTTATATGAACTTTTCGTCTTAGGATCACTCAAAGAATCTCCCCTCCAAGTTTGGCCACGTACTTAAATAACACCCTGTATAGATACCAATCACTATAGTATATTTTATAGATGCGAGTATCAAACATTTATTATGATAAAAATGTAGAAAAAATCCATCGTATCTCAAAGTGGAATGGTTAGTTACCAGGAATCAGGAACACAAAGCCATCACCACAATTTTAATAGGGATCAAAACTCAATCAGATCATCGTACATGTTTCGAGCCCATATAGGCTCATCTTTTTTATTATGTATAAAGATTTTGAAACATATAGAGTTAATGATCCGATTCTGAACAACGCTCTTTGAGAAATTGTTATGTTCAATATCATTCAACTCGAGTGGTTGAAACGTTGCTCTGACAATCTGAAATTCACGGGTTCGAGCCCATCTTGGGTCAGCTTTTTTTAATTATGAATATGTTTAGTGGAATATTCCAGGAATACTATCATTTATTAATATTCCTGTACTATCCCTGGAATTTTCCGATCATCATCTGAATATGTCTTGAATATTATAAGTACATTCTGAATATATAGGGAATATTCCTTGTGAATATTCTAGGAATATATACATTCTTCCCCACCAGCACATCCAGGGAATATTCCGTAAAAGAGATATATACCCTGGCATGTTCATGCATGAATATTCCCAATACCCAAAAATAATATTCTATGAATATTCATGGAATATCTGGGGTGCTGTCTGGGTTTATCATCCATCGCGTACCTCACACCTATGAATATCTGTTGAACTCTGTGCTGGTCGACTGATTAGGAAAAACATAGTTCAAAAAGACATTCGAAATCCTATATGCCGGCAATTTTTTTCTACATCTGTATGAATCACGGTACTTTCTTATTTCCCTCCATGATATTGAAGCATCTAAGACTCAGAAGAATGTCTTCTGTACCTCGGTTATATTCTTAGTTTCCACGTACTACTAGCAGATAATTTCCTAGTATAATCGTTTTTTGACCTAAAATCGTGATATTTATGCGAATAGGTGATTAGGTGAAGTTGTCATTGAAAGTCGGTGAGAGCTGTCAGATGAGTTGACATCGTACATGAGAATCAAAATCAGGGCATTTCAGAGACGATAGAGATGATGTGAATTGTTTTATTATTGATCAATAGTGAAGATAAACGATTTCTCAGGTCGAAGATAACATATGAGTGATCTAGAGCTAGTAGTGGAGATACTATTTTTGCCACAAATTGGGATTGATAGTATTATCAAGTTGAATGTTTCGAAAATCTGTGTTATTTTCAGGTTCGTCCTGAACCAGATGGAGCATTCTCTTCCACATCGTCGGCCTCCCCACCACCCAAGACCAAAACTTCTAGTAGGCCATTCCAAAAATTCAAGAGTTCTAATAATTCTCGCACTGGAAACAATATGAAGATTCGTGCGACACCAGATCATTCCGAATTAACATCGGTACCAAGAGAATATATGGACTATCGGGGAGTGAAGTACACTAACGACGGAGGACTTTATAGACACACAACAGTGCATCCAGAAGTTACCTGCAATATGCCAAAAGTAAAAGGTGTGTTCCATTCAGACCTACATATGGATCATATTAACTCACCGGCAAAAAAACGGCCACCCTTGATTATCTTTATTTTAACTAGAGAGTGGTAACAGGATGAAGTACAACTTGTTGATGAGGCGAAGTGTACAAATTTACTGAAGAAAACAATCAAGAACACGAACAAATTCAATTCAGTAATAACAGAAAAAATGATAGGAGGTACTAGTAGACTATAAAGACCCCCATCCCTCCCACTTTTTCCAAATAACGTGATTCGGCTGACCAATCACAGGCCACCATTCAGTTTGTGGCCTCGCCCACGATTCCCTCTACCCTTACCAGTTGGCAATTCAACAATTGAAACTCCGAGACAGAAGGTCTCGTTGTTTAGCCCTGTAAAGGTTAATTGGTAAATGGCTGATAATTTAAAAAAAACATCTACCAATACATCACTGGAGCTCTCGAATGAAATCGACCATGGCCCTCTTGCAAAATATTTGGAGCGAAACGTGAAACCAATCTTACTGGTCGGCTCCAATCCCTCCGTCCCTTCGACCACGATTTGTGTGATAGTATCTTCAACCCACCCCACTCTGGTTCTGGTGATGTTGTCTGTTGGCAGTTTTTGGAGGGCGTTTAAATAAGGCCCGCGGGATGTGTTTGCTAGGTACCTGGTTGTGACCATCATAGGTACAGTCGTCTTCAGAGAACATGTCGCAGATGGACGGTGTCAGCTTTCTTAATCACCACTGCAATAAGAGCGCTCATACGGTCCAACCACGACATGATCATTGAAGACGAGTGTACCTGATATAAGACCTCAATCCACCACCCCACAACAATCCCTACCTACACCACCAGAGTTCTTTTTTTTTGCTAAATGAGATCTTACTGGTCCTTTTTGCTGTTAGAACTTATATTCAGAAGATTTTTCAAGTTTTTTATAAAATACATTCATAACAATGCTAGGTATAATATATTCTCTTTGAAATATTTCATTTATTGGAATACTTAATCACAAACTGATTCCAGATTGGTTTAGATAGCCCTGAAACAAATACCCGTGCACGAGTCGATGAATTGACTACAACGGGACTTTTGTAGTACTGTTCCAAGTTTTCAAATCAGCGGGTAACTTGGAACAGCTATATATTTTTCAAATATCATCCAAACGACTGAACAGGCGAAGATATTTGTATAATTATAGTACATCAACTCATACATAACATATTTTATGATAGTGCAAAATTCCCTGCCATCGCTTCGATATTTGAGTAGTTTTAAATGAAGTATAGTATTCGACACGCTCATAATGGCTATCACCCTCTTAGATGATTACAGGACTGTCCTCCAGCTCGTACTGCAACTTTCAATTTCGTGAGTGAATACACTGAACTTTTAAGTTGCCTGTATGTCGAGTACCTATATGTTTTTTTCCTATTCTCTACATCATCAGTCAACACTATGGTCAACCCCAACACTATGGAGAAATCTGTGATTCGTCATCAAGAGATTCTGACGATCTCTAGGAGTAATGATTCTTTACAGGTATCCTTCTATTTCCCATTCATCCATCCACTAGTTTGCCGGAACGCATATCCAAAATTCCAAAATCTTCCAAATCAAAAAACTAGTCTTTCAAATTTTTTGTATTGAATAACTCCATTTTTGATGTACACGATTTTTTTGTGGTTATAACTCTATTTTTTATCATCATTTTTTCGTGATTAGTTATTTATAGATTTTTACGTTTTAGATACAAAACTGGTTCAAAGCAATAATAATTACAGAAGAGATATGGCAGCTGGTGTAAGGAGCACACTAACTGTAGGAAGCACCGATTCTGAGAATTCACACAACTATCGATCAGTCGATACTAAACACTCTTCTCCATTGCCAATGTGAGTGTTACTTGTGTTTTTTTTTGCCGAAAAATTCGCAATATTCCAATAGGTATACTGTGAAATTAATTTCGACAGCACCATCTAGTGTATCTATCATTGGAATTGAAAAAATATATAACCGATAATAACCAACTACGTATACAGTGACCAGCAGATTTGTTCATACAAATGGGAAGAAAGTTGTTATTAATTTGAGATCTCACAAAACCGTATACTATACACTCTGTGACCAAGATAAGGTTGCACAGCATGGGGATCTCGGAAACAGGAAATTCGAATTCGGTTAAATAAAGAAAAAAATTGCGAATTCAGAGGGTCATACCAACGGCGACCTTCGAAAATGTTCAAGAATAATTTTTCCGTTAGTTGTATCGAAACAAAAAAATACGGAAAATCAATTATATTTTTTTCTACGTTATTATTAAAGATATACAAAATTTAAGAATACGTTTTCATGAAAACGCTTGATGAGATTTGTTTTGATTGTGTTTCGACTCAGTTTTAGCCATCATCAATGTTATTTCGAAATTCCAATGAGGAAATACCACCAGTTCCGCTAATTTCGAATCATTCGGTGTTGAACAATGATATATATAGTTATTCAGTACTGAAGAGTAAAAAAATATATATTTCACTCAATTATCCAATGCAGCGCTTCAAATTGTTCTATGTTACGAATGACCTTCAAAATTATAACCAATATTTTCTAAACAAATTTATCCTCTTCTTACAGTTGCATTTCTTAGCATTTTTGTGGTAATACTATTGAATGCTTCGATAACACTGTCCCATATCAGTTCTTCTTCGTTATCAAAATTATTTCCGTAAAAAAAGTTTTTAACGTATCCCAAAAGAAAAAATCCAGCAGTGTCCTCTCAGGCGATCGCGCCGGCCAATGGACTGTAGAATAAGGTTAGTTATCAAGGCGATTCGTGTAAAAATCAATATGAAACAATCTGAAGCGCTGCAATGAATAATTTATGAAATATTCTTTCCTTCCTTTTCAGTATTGAATACTAAATGATCAGAAATGAGTGGAACTAAAATGGTATTACCTCTTTGGAATTTCGAAAAAACATCTTAGATGGCTAAAACTAGGTCGAAACACATTGAAACCACTTTGGGTAATACATGGCGGTTGAATTCAGAATAAAAATAGCAATCATAATCTGTGCACATAATCAGGACCGTATTTAAAAAAGTTAATGATGGTTTTACGAATACGAAATGTCGCCCAGAAAAATCAATATGAGCAAGATATTGAATCTCATCAAAAGTTACCTTGGAAAAGTATTTTTAGTTTTTCTGTAACTTTATTCATAACGGCGGAGAAAAATGGAATAAATATTCCAAAAATTCACTCTTTTCGAAGGCCGTTGGTGTATGCCCTTGGGATGCGCAACTCCTTTCCAATTTAACCGAATGCTGTGGAACCATATCTTGGTCACACTGTATAAAAGTTCTTGCTCTCCTCAAGCTAAAATGCGCTTTCCATCCACATCAGATTTTCTGATTTCGCATAAAACGGTATATGAAAATAGTTTCAACGAGTGACTCATAATTGAAAAATACCCTGGAAATCAAAAGTCCTACCAAAGAAAAGATGGAATGAATGTTCCACATACACTAACCCACTTATCATGTTCCAGGTCCTATTTCCATGAAGACCAACTCCACTGCTGAGGATCATTCATACATAAGAGATTTGAAGTACAGATCAGATATACCAGTACACCATGTATCATAAATAACATTTTTATTTTGTATATTATCTTGTTTTTGTACATATAAATTTATAAATGTTTACTGTTTATGTGTATGTAAAAATTTGGGGAATTTTCAAAAACCCGATGTCAATATTTACGTCTCATTAACCATTTTTTCTGGTGATGAGTAGTGCAGTTCTTAAAAGCAGGTTCAATTCAGCAATGACATTTTTGAGAAAAACATTTATTCAAATAATCACAAGTTTTTCTGATAAAATTTCACTATGATAAATTTCCTTCCATATTGCCTGTAAAATGCAAATAAAAAATATGTAGGGTGTAACAGATTTCATATACAAAAGAAAGGTCTTAGTTTAATTAATCATCTCGATACATATTACAGTAACAATTAATAGCTATAATAATTAAATTAAATAGTAAATATATTTTGAATCTGACTATCAAATTCAATGTATCACACTCGCATTGCCTTAAGGCCCTTTACAAAAATACATGTGCCTTCCTATAAGTTAATTTACAAAAAACCTGTTTCAACTCAAGCATATTCAACCCACTATTATAATTTATTATAATTCAAGATTTGCAGCTCATACTTCATTACAATAGAAATTATTTAATTCTTTACACTCTTTAATCTGTACACTTAACATTTACTTCATGTTTATTTACAAGAACCCTATTTTATTTTGATATAAACAAGAAATCAACACATCAGTCTTAAACATTAAAGGATTACTTTAAGCAAAGCCGAAGCCCTCAGAACACTCATGGATCGCCTTCAATAAATAGGCTCGTAACTTATCGTAAGTTTCATATACAGGAAGATCCAGCTGATTGAAACTAAAACAAACAAGGATTTCAAGACTTTTCTGTTGAACAGGAGCGTTCGATCACGTCAACGACTGAACACACTCTAGATAGATACATTGTATGAAACTATATTAGTTTTCCCCCAATGATTCCGTGAGGACAAGGAATACGAATCGGATCTCTGGGTTTTCGAGGTATACTTCTTTCTTATTGGCAACGCCGTAATATTAATATGGATATGGTAAACAAATAGGTATTTGAACTATGAAAAGAAACATAACGATCTGAATTGTCTAGTTTTTGGTACAATTAGGACTGACGAACCACTGAATTTCACGCATAATAAATGAAAATTAATAAATTACGAAAAATAATGTGAACTACCCTCCAAAACTACAAACTACTACGAAAAATGCCAAAGTTGTTCAATTGCAACAACACACAAAACCATTCATACGAGAAATGAAACGTTATTCAATTGATGCAATATTTTTCAGAGAAACCAACAGCGACACAGTGTAATAAGTAGATTGTTAAGCAACTATACTTTGCAAATAATTCGAACGCAGACTACAGAGACACAATGTCAGAACTCGGCAGACTACAGGATCACCTGGAATTCTCTTATGTCTCACATATTTATGCTTATGAGAGCTTATACTGGGTGATTGTCAAACGCAGTTATGGCACATTCTCATGAACTTTCAGTACTAACATGGGCCAAGGAGTTTCTCCTTCAGTATGTACCAAACATTTAGGAACATCCTGTATATTTGTTTGCTCTTTAATTTCTCAACATTTTGAATGAATGGGACGAAACTCTATGATCGACTATTCAATTATGTATCGGAAAAAATTAATGAAACCAGCTCAATACCTAATTTGTTTTGAAATGATGACATGTCATATCATTTTTTTATGTGACTGGTTCATCTTTGACATTTATTGTCCCTAAAACTATCCTTTGTATCGATAGTGTCTACAGTCCGGTGTCTATCTAGAGTTTAGATGAATAGACAGACAGGTTAGTTTGTAGTAGATGGTTTAATATATCAAATGTGAAATCAGGTTAGATCTCAGAGCGATAAAGAAATAGAGATTTTTTCGGTATCCAAAAACTACACATACTTGTTCTGTGTCAAAAAATGTGGAGGGAGGAGAATGTTTATTTGTGATGTTTACGAATCTTGTGACACTCGCGCACGTTAATTATCTTGGAGGATTAACGGAATAATGTTAAAATGGTGGAAGTATTTATTGCTTATCTAATCATTCCAAGTGGTGGATTAAAATTAATGTTTTGCTTTCGAAAAACCTGGCTAAGAATGAGTAGCAGTAATATCTGCATACATTTTCTTTGAATTGAAAATGAGGAATACCCTGATGATATACCTGATAATACACATTATTTGATATTAGTAATTTGAAGAAGAAATACAAGAATGCTCTCAGAGTAATAAATAAATTACTGTTCTAGATGATGCATCATATAATCTAAGTTAGGATGTAAAAACTAAAAATCACTTCAAAACAGCATCCTTCAATTGAATAATTAACAAAAAAATCATGATATCTGAAGAATTTGTCAAGGTTCTCAAATAATTTTGTTTCATGGTGTATCCTGATCTCAAAATATTTATCCAAGATTAATTTTGCCAATTTGTAACCATTATTACCCAAGGGCTCATCATCAGAAAAAGTGATCTTCAAATATATGGAAAATATCTCTTTTTAGTTTTGAAATGTTTATGGTGAGAACCTTTTTCAAATTAGCAACTATAAAATAATTTCTCTAGTGATCTCAAACATTTTTCACCCCCTTTGAATACAAGAGGGAATGAGGAATATATACTCATATTTTGAGATTATTCATACACAGTCAATGCCCTAAGTAAAATAGGTAGTAACGCCCATGTTGAATTCTTACCTCCAGAGGTAAATGACTTGGAGAGCGACTGAGCAGACGCAGAACGCAAACAAAGCATTTGAGAAGCACCTCTGCCGAACATATATAAGCGGAAAGAACCGACGGTACCCGATAGCGGCAAATCTTAACATTGACCAAGAATACAATTCATAATAAACAAGCTCGTCATGTTCGCTTCAAGACAAGGATAGAGAAGCCATCTCTATATTTCCTTATTGCTCTGAGGGTTAGATTGATTGTTACGTTAATGATGTATTATTTTTTACATAATATGTGCAAGATTTCTTGAATTATTTCGGAATGAATCCGAACAAAAATAACTAGACCTTCCTTCATTTAATCAAATACATTCTAGAATGTTTGAATTAGAAATTGGGCTAATCAAATTTGGCAAGCTATGTTAGAACAATATAACCCTTGATCTCAAGCTAGCGGATTTTATGCAGCTCGGGCATCAATTGTCCGGTTTTATTAAAATAATACTATATTGGTTAATGGAATAAATTATTTTTTCTGTTACACTGATAGTTGCAGAAACTACTTGGACATGTCAATTTTGTTTTTCAATAGCCATTTCATATACAGAACGTTGCCATATCTGAGTGAAAATTCAATAGACGATTTTTTTTATCGCTTGGAGCGCACGAAAGGAATTATTCGATACACGGAGAAATTTTTCATTATTAATTCAACGAAACTGGATTTTATAGAAGTAACTCAAAGGAATACGGAGATATAATCGAAAAATAATTCAATTTGCCCAAAAAAATGTCTGTAAGGTGGGAGCTATCCACTTCTCATTGGAACAAAAGGATTTTTTCGCATATACAGGGTGATTCAGTTTCTTGTAGCAGTTTGAAGAACACATATTTGAAGAACATACATAAAGAAAAGTTCATATGAATATATGTACGTGGGAGCATCGTTACCGATATACAGGGAGTCGAAGTTTGAGATTGTTTCCATGTTTTTTTAGTTTCCTCCTAAAATTTTCAAAATGAAGCATTGAAATTTGGTATACCTATTACACTTAAAGAGATGAATATTTAGGGCTATTAGACGATTTCGATTACCTACATGTTGATAATCTTATGAGGATTGTGCCCAATTTAACCCTCTTGAACTTTTCTGCGTGCTGCCTCTGTTTTCAATGTAAAATTTATTCGGATTCTCCGTTTCATTTGGAACCTTTTTGATGTTTTTATGATTTCAGAAAACCATGAATTTCGAGATAATACCAAAAATAATTTTTTGTGATAAAACTTCAAACACATTCTATTTGGCATTTCCTAATAATTGACTAGAAGACTTGGAATGATTGAAAGCTTTCGTGAGATGTGTTAATGAAATTCAGTGGCAAATCTCGAAAAAGACAAAAAATATGTAAAAGAATTACACCAACTGTATATCGGAAAACTGACTCACCCTGCATATCTTCGTAGTCGCTTGACGTAATCCTATGAGACCAAGTAGAATTGAAATCATAATGAATCGTTAATTTTCAGGCAAAATTGTATCTTCACTCTTGTCATATTACCTCCGAATATGCACAATAATTATCATTGTGAGCGCGATCAAATTAATACAGTGGAATATTGAGTGGACAAATTATAGCAAAAAAGATTTAGTTCACTTTCAATTCAATGTTCGCCAACCAAGAGCAACATTTATACAACGTGATTTATATCGTACTACGGAAAATTATTCAGTAACATACATAATACAGATAATTCACAAACAGAATGATTATAGTTGCATTTTATGAACGAACATCATCAAAACATTTTTTTTATCAAAAAACGTTTCAATAGTTTTTAATTTTTCCTCGAACCTAACCAGACAAACCAGGTTAACTTTATGATGACGCCAAGGTAACTTGACTATGACGTCACGGTTTACTTGTGGAGCTTGACAGATGTCAGTTTGTATCAGCTATTTCTGTTTATTGTTTGGCATTAGTAGTAATACTAATATATTAAATAAGAAATTCATCATCGTTGATAGGAACTTGGTACTTACCTACTTCAAATAAAAAAAAATTGGAACAATTCGCTACGTACATATTTACAATGAATCAAATATTTATTTTCATCAATATGATCTCTCATTGAGAAACACTTCGTATTATTCCATAACCATCTCTTTAAGAAGTACAATTATTTTTTCTTATCAATTATATAACCTCAGATTATAACAACAACAAGAATACAATCCATGCAGTGCCCAATCAAAAGACTTAACTACTCCGTACACTACCCCAGTGAGCTGGTTTGTGCGGTTTTTTAACTATTACGTCATAGTTTGGAATGCACTTCGAGGAAAATTGACTGGTTAACTTATTGTTAACCCGGTTTGTGTGGTTAACTTCCAGGAAAAATTGCTCTTGAATAGATCCGCTATGTTTTATTGAAATCGGCAGTAGCGAATTTCGACCGTTTGAATGTGATTTCATTTATGATTCTGAGACCTTAAACCCATTCAGGAAAAAAAGTACTTAAAATATTACAGTCCACTAGTCCATTGTCACTTTTATCCGGAAATTCTCCCAAATAATGATTTTTAACTGTAACTTTACAATCACCATACAGGTCGAAAATGTCTGTACGGCAAACTTGGAGCCTGAAACATCGCTAAAAGTAGCGCAATGTAAACACACTCCTCTCCCTATCCTCCCCTTATCACCCTATCCTCCCCTTATCACCCTATCCTCTCCTTATCTCCCTATCCTCCCTAGGTAGGCATGATGTTCTTCGAAGATTATAGGAATTCCCTTTCGTGCACCACACAAGATAAAAAAAAAAACAGGGAATTAACCTGACCAAGTATGTTTGATTGGAAAAATTATTAGTATAAACTATCTAGAATCATTATGAAGTTTTGAAGGCACTCTTTCATATGAAAGTCTAGTACATAATTTTTTCGCATGCTGATATCAATCATGTTGTATATGTTAGAAGCTCTACTTTGTTGGCATAGATTCACCACCAAACCAAAAAGTTACTTGATCGTATAGATTTTTCATTTGTGAGATTCTTCTAGGAATAATTGTCATTATATTTATCACTATTATAAATTGAAATACACTTATCACTCACCACGTGTGGGCAGAAGGCAGGCGATCAGTAGACCGGTCATCTCGGTGTATCTGGAACTTTTGGACGCCATTCATTCCTTCCAGAGCACCAAAACCTTGTAAGGGAACTTTCGATGTTCCAGTTACAAACTGCAAAAACTTGGCGCGATCAGCTTGATCGAACGACCTCAAAGCTCTCCAGAACCACTGAATCTAGAGAAAAAAACGAATGAAACGTATGAAGCGATAAAGAAGCATCTCTGAAGCGAATTAATTTCATGTACAGTGTTGGACAAGTTCGACGCTCATAAAGTAAGTCCTATTTTCAGATTAGTTAGATGGAAACGTATGACCACATATTGTGGTCTAGCATCTTTTCGAAGTTGAAATTGTGCATTGAGTTGCTGTAAATTGTTTTATGTCAAAACTTCTTTGTTTCTACATCAGTCTCTTTCCATTATGTTCAAAATTGGGACTCCACCTCAAGTGTCCAATTTTTCCCACCCTATGAACGAATCTACAAGGCGTTTCAGGCATAATTGGACATATACTAACTAGACGATGTTTGACTTAGAAATATTAACAGGAATAGGCTTTGTTACTGGAAATTCGTTAGATAAAAGTCCTTCAGAAGTTCAAAGTCTCAAAAACCTTACAGTTTCCGAGATTGTGGTACATCCATCACAAAATTTGACACAGACTATATATTTTTGTATTACAGACTACCCTGCTAAACTAAAAATATTTAAGGTATCTGCAAATATGTTTCCTTGTTTTGATTTTTTCTATAGTTGTGAGAAAACTAATTATCAATTTAAAAAAAAAGGAGCATCCTCAATGATCGTGAATACTGATCTACTATTCTTCAATTATTTATTGATCGTTTTGGTTTTTATTGGACAAAAAGTATTGATGAAACTTGTTGGTAACTTACCTGTAATGAGTTTGTCTGATACTTGTGGTATTCGGTATTAGCTTTCAAATCATCTATATCCACATTTGGTAATCCAGAAATCAGAAGTTCTAATTCTTGTTCATTGAATATAGATATTAGGCGCATTGGAATAATATCATAGAATCCTTCAAGAAATGAATTCAACCTTTAATAAAGAAAATATATGTATATAATTTGTTTCTTGCATTTTTATGAGAACTCCTTACTGTTGCTTGATAGCTCCTGTCATTTTCATTTGGCATACCAGCCTAACATACTCCATCTTATTCTCTTCTGTTACAGAGATATGTCTTCCATTTGGTATCAGATCCCTCGTTTCGGTCACTCCAAACTCGCTAATTTCAGTACTGAATGTCAAATCCAATCCCAAATTATTAATGTTATTCTCCATCAAATAAACCAATCCTCTGTAGAAACTGTAATCTTCACTTTCCATGTCTGTATATTTCACAGATATGCCCAAAATGTGTTTATAGAATGAACGTGTGAAGTAACACTCTAATAGTTTGTTGTCATATATTGCTTTCGCTGAAAAACGTAAGAATCTGATAAGCACAATTCTATGAGTGATTCAGAAAATCATTACCTATTACCCGTCCTACAAATTTGTAGTAGCACAGATGATTAGAATTGTAGTGACTAGCAGAATTAATCATATAGGTCACTCTATCGCCTGGAGAGACCGTGAAAAGTGCATACATTGGATTGAAGATGTCTCTTGAGATAATAACATACCATTCTCTCAATAGACCACCAGCATCTTGACCTTCTTCATCTGAAAGTATATTCTACTGTGAGAAACGCAGCACCCTTATTCAATACATCAAGATGAATTATTCAACAAAAAGTTATACGTTTGTTTGGATGTATGACAAATTAGGCCTGTTCGGTTGTATCGCTAAACTTGCTGAAGTTGATTATTTTCCCATAGTTGTTTCTGTTCATGGCATGATTTAAACAGAGAGTCATAGAAAAAAATCAAGTTCAGCAGGTAGAGCAAGCACAAACGAACAGGCCAATTGATTTTCATCATACAGGGCGGGGAAAAAAATTCAGAATTGGAAAAACCCCAATCACAAATCTGGGATTAGAGGTCTATAAAAATAACAAGCTTCCTTTGATCAAGTATTGAACCCCTTGATTGGGTGTGGTAGAATTAAAAAGGAATATTCTGAGATATATTATGAACATGAAAATAATTGATATATTTAAAGAGAAACATTGAGAATTCGCATTCTCTATGCGTTGAAAATATCAATTCTTCCTCGGTATATTCAACAGAAAACAACTACTTTCCTCGCTACATGCCACGACGAACATTGAATACACTGGATAAAAATTTGAAAATAAAATCTAAAAAAGTTGAGAATTTGCATTATCTTTCAGATAAAATATATTTGTATATAATATCATTCTGAATATTTAAAAGAAAACAACAACTTTCCTAGCTATTTGCCACGTCGAACATTGAATTACATACATCCAAGAGGGCGATATAAAAATGAAGATCTTCTAAAATTGAGAATTACTGTTCTCATCTGATCTGAAAGAGAATGTCAATTTTCAATTTTAGAAGATCTTCATTTTAATAACCTCTTCGATGTTCAGCACCATTCCTCCGCTCTGCCCTAAAAGCGTACGTGATATCCAATTGTTTTTTCATTGAAAATATGGGCATTAAGAAACTTTATCTTGGATCCAAATACCAAAAGTCTAACAAGAAAAACAACTGGAAGACGCCATGTCCAATGATTCCGTTGTCACCAGGTATAGTCTCAGTAATGGGTATGTTCATCTGTCAGAGAGCAAGTACCAATGACGACCAAAACAGCGGTCTAGTATCTTTGACAAATGATCATAACCTATATCCACGCCTGGAATCTGAATTTTGATCTGTTTCGACTACTTCATGATATTTCTAGATCATTTTCCGATTTGAGATTCGAACTTTGTCAATAATAATGGCGTTTCCTTCTGTCAATGAAACCTATTGAATGTACATACCTTCGAAAACAATGTAAAACCTGTTCTTCCACTCCTCAGGAGGTCTCCTAAACAGCTCCCTGAACGAGTCCTCGAATATGTTACTCCTCCTGACATGGACAGCTGTTTCCTCCCTCCTGATTCCATGATCCAGACGTTCGAGTTCCGTCCTGAAGTACCGCCGTTTGATATCGAAGTCCAAGATTCTCGTGTGGTCAACCAAAACAGCGAACGGCCCGTCTGCCAGATGAGCAGTGCTCTGTCTCAGAATCTGGTTCAGAACAGTGCGGTGCTTTTCTGCGAAAGCGAGGAACTGCTGCTGCTCGGGAGATACGATCTGTTTGGCATTCGGCTCGGGTTGCTTTTCTTTTCTGGTTTCCGCTGTACTGGGAGCCGTTTCTGGTGGAGGCTGCTCTGGATTGGCAGGGGTTTCTTTGGGTTGTTCTGCATCTTCTGGGGATGACTGTTTGGTAGTGGGTTGTTCGGATTCTGCGTTTTCTTGCATGTTGTCTTCCGGTTCGTTATCTTTGGTTTCTTTTTCTTTCGATTTTGCTGGGCCTTGTTGAGGAGAGTGCACCAGGAAGAAAGCTTCCACAGCAGGCTATAAAGTTTATTTGAACAGTGACAGGGGCACTCACATGAACTCATTTAGAAAACTGATTGGGATATAAAATAAGTTGAGTGCTTCAATGGGGAAGTTTCCAATATGAGATTTTCATCTGACTGTGAAGTTTGTAAAAATGCAATATATAGTACGTATTTTTCCTTATCTTCGTAAGATCGAATTTCATTCCAGAAAAAAAATGAATAAGAAATTTGGCTCCATCAAGATTCCTATTACGTACTTTGTGATAAGCCAAATCGACATGGTGGTAAAATAAGATTCCCTGTCAGTACGACGTTGCCGGTATCATAAATATGGGATACAATAGGTTTTTATCCCTATTTTGCAATAGTATACATAATATATTCGTTATATTGTAAAATGATAATCATAACTTTACAGTCATTGTTTTGCAATTGTATTTGTTCCATTATAAAACGGATCTATTTTATAGGAATGTTGCAGATTATATCATGCAACAGCGCATAATACTTTGAGCCCATCCATACCACACAAAATACTGACAGGTACACCGAGAGCTGATCGGATTATGTAGCAATGTATGTTTTTGTTTACTAGTTTTAATTGTGTCTATTTTTGATCTCCAGAAATTCGTAAGCCTTTGTCTACAGTTTATAGTTGTTTTGTTAGTTAGTTGATCATCAATATTTTTTTTATTCGTTAGCTATATTGTCGTGTGTAATCCTCATCATCAGTTATATTGAAACTAGATTCAGAATATACGTTAGATTTTGCCACCCCGAAAATAAAAAATTGCTTCATTTTGAAAATGAAACAACTTGGACTGTATCGATCGCCATTCTGTACAGCGTGGACATAAAACTGAGGAGTTCCGAACTTATTTTATGAAAACTCATCCATAGGAAACTTCCCCATTATTCACAGTTATATGAAGTTTAATTTTCAGGTACTATAGACAATACAATGTGATTCATAACTGTGAATAACTTCGCATTGAACTTTTTTGTACCTCCTTCAGCTTCTCAAATGAGATTCCATTCTAAATAGACAAGATTACAAACGCGCACGTTTCGTTTATATGAGCATATAACGGAAATATCCTGAATTATGTATTGATATTCCGAGAAATATCATCTGAAAACCCATCAATTTCGTAGATCATCAGAACAGTTCATTCGCCTAGCTGGCGATTCACTCGTCTGATGAAGACAGAATAGAACTGAGATAACTACAAGGTCTTCAACAACAATAGATGGATAAATGAGAAAATTCGATATGAATCCAGTCAGCTGTCATCCAGTCAAAATCGCAAAAATAATTCAATTAATCTCTAAACTTATAAGAATTAATTTTTTGCTGGGTTACATCGTGTTGAAAGGAAAGGTCATGGTATTTTTCCAGTGATTAGTGTTCTTGATTATTGAAACATACAGAACATAGTCAAAAGTGATAACAAAAAAAGATCAAATAGGCAACTAACCTGAAGGACTAGAACAGCATGATGATCTGGAGCGTGTTCTAATTCCGACAGACACTGACTCAATGTTTCCCAAAAGCTACTGAGGCTAGACAACTGCTCACTCAATGCTTGTAGTTCATATGAACCATAATCAGCTGGGAAAGAACAAACATTAGGACTTCTCAAATAATTTTAATAAAGCTCAACTCACCTCTTTTCATGCTCTGTTTGATGGAATTTCTGATTTGAACAATTACACGAAGTACTCTAAGAAAGAACACCTGACTTGAGGACTTTGAGGTAAGAGGCACCATTGAGGGTAATTGAAGTTCACATGATGTTTTCACTTTGGTGTTTGCTGTAACGACTACTTGTTCATTTGTGAATCTGTTGTGGATAACACCTTTGGAGGTAGATGGTCCATCCTCTAGTTTCCTTTTCTGTGTATTGTTGATGAGGTCCTTCAAGTCTCCCAGCATATTTTTTATTTGGCATTCCACAATTTTGCCAATCTCAATAGCACCATTCAGTAGCAGAGTCAATATCTGCGATACAAGAAAAAAAACTACTCATGCTATCCAAGGTGCCCCATATAAATATAAAGAATGTTTCACAAGTTCGTGAAGAAAATTCTGGGGCGTGTCGTTGACGTCGAAACATGGAATAAATTTCTTATAAACGCATTTCCGTGAGTTGGTCGTTTCAAAGTATAAGGCGATAAGATTGATATTAGAAAACGGTCACTAATACAAAAAAGCTGAATTTTTGCGCCATTCTCATCTACTTCAATTTCATATTAATGTCTCTAAGTTTTGCAAATATTGACAAAATTATACACAATGATTATTTCATCATAAAAATTATTGTCACAGTAGAAATATTGATATCACGGCATTTTTTCAACCGAAGTTAGATATGCATATCTGAAAAAAATCTACGTGTATGTGATAAATTTCCAGGGAAAACTGTGTTTAAGACTGTAGACAAAAATATGAAGAATAATCAAAGGATAGTATATACAGTATACCTTATTTGTAGAAAGTATTATAATATAGGTGAAATAAAGTCACTCAGTACAAATGAATATAAGAACAATACACAGAAGACATAACGACCAAATCAGAATTAGCTGAACATATTATTCTTCTCTTTGTCAGTATTATTGAATTTACAACAGCAATAACTGTCATCAACTATTGAAATCGAGTGAGCAATAGATGATTAATTTGATAGCTGTATATAATAGCTATGTATATATCAAGGGAGCAAAGGTGTCAATTTCGTCCTATGATATATATAAATATGAAGTTATTCACGAACGCGGTCTATCTCTCGATCCAAATCAGAATGCATTACAAAGAGGTTTAGTGTGCCATGGACAATTAACGGTAATCGAACGAAAATCAATGTGACACTTCTGTCATAATGAATTTATTTATTGTGTAATTACATTTGAAAGTATTGATTGAGTGCTTGGAAAATGTGGATGTATATGAGATCACAATTAGAATTCAGAAATGAAATTATTTGTTTTATAATAATGATAAAGACATTGAGTACTTTGATAGCACGGATCTCATAGGTAGGTTTATGTCTGCCAAGCATTCTGAAACCAATTTATTTTACCTCCCACGGGAAGTAATGTTTTTTTTTTCACGAACGCGTTAATGTTCTTTTTTTCTCCAGTGGAAGTAAATTGACAGCTTTGTGTCCTTGAATTAGGGAACAAACGACTATTTTCGAGTAGATGAAAGAAATAATTGAAGATACTCACAATGAAACTCATGTCCAGAGATGAGTTAGCCAAATTCAGTAACAGATTTGTTATGAACTCTAAACCTTCTTCAGAACAATTTTTATAAGTAATCACATTAACAGCTAAACTCAATGCATGTGTTGGAGCGTTAGTGAGATCGGGGCCCTGTTTATTTTTGCTTGCTTTATGGGGCTTCACCAGCTCAGGCATACCAGATGTAGTGACTGATAACAGCTTCAACAAATTATCTGTCAGTTGGGTATTTCTGTTTACTACTGGAGTAGCAAGCATGTTCAGTAACTTCCCAAAAACTGACTGTTCGAAGGTAATCACGGTGTCAGTTTCGCTCATCGTATTAGAACTACTATTTCTCTGGATACTTTTGCCCTTTTTGGTAGCGGAGTCTAAGCGTAAAAGCACATCCCAAAAATCAGCGGCAAGTTCTGCTTTTACTTTCACTGGGGTAATGGTATTCTTTTCAGTTTCATCTCTGATACATTTTATTGGAAGCAAGCACGATGGGAAAGCTTTCGCTAAGGAAATGAACAAGTCCAAGGTGTTTCGGCACACAATAGGAGCTGCTTGAGGGTGTATGCTTATTACGCTAGACCCAGTTGCTTTATCGCTCTTCTTACCAACTGTCTTATTGACGATAAATACATTTGCGGCACAGCCCAAGGCAGCTTCCATACGAATAGTAAGCCAATGTCCCCCATTCTGTAGATGCTTAGCATCTGTTAGTAGTTTACTGGTCAAAGGGCCTGGCCTTGGGGATTTCCTCATGGGTTTATTGAGATTATCATCTGGCTGGATGTTAACACTTTTCTCGATAACGGACAGTAAAGCATTGATGATCCATTCTCTTGTAGGAGCATGATAGCATAAATTCCTTATCACTCTGTGCAATCTCAATTTGTTCAAATGGGAGTCGTCTGTGAACAACAAAATGAGCAGACATGCGAGTCCCTCATGATCCAATAGCTGTCGTCCCTTTATCTTCAATGGCGAATTTGATGGCACCGGATTGTTCATGATGTCTCTGCTCCACTGGCTCCAACCGCCTCTTTGGAAATTGCTAGGTCTGAGTGGGGGACGCCCTCTTGATTGCCTGTAAATCGTCGTCAAGTTGGTTTGTAGAAATCTTTCTTGTGCCATTTGACGATTCCTGGCATACCAATCTCTGCGGAGCGTTTGTGCTTCTGCGGCCAAGTCTGGCGGAAGGGCAGACATTTGGGAGTCCTCCATATCAGAGAGTATCTGTTGAGAAATTGAAATTAGTTGAAATATGACAATACATAGTAGCAAAATCTGTTTGCTGCAAGGCAAAATACATCTCTGCTATCATTCCAATGCCAGTCAGACGTACTCGACAAGCTGTGTCAGCACCTCATTTCGTCGTCAACATTGAGATATGTCGAACAACTCTCTACCAAAACTCAATTGTCTATATATCGGCAAAGCTTTGGAATTCTATGAGCCGAAACGATGGCATTAAAACTTCATTTTCTCATTCCGTATATAAGACGTGTCATGTCATGAAGTGTTGTTGTGTATATGAAAATGTTTATCGTGAAATCATTTGATTCAATTCAAGTTTGTTATGGCTGAAATGAAACAAGAAATGTATTTAAAAGACCAAATGTCATTTGGACTATAGCAAATTTGGAATGAATTTGTTGTTTTTATAACCAAAATTTGAATTAATTCCAAACTTAAGAGGAATACACAGTTGCACCCGACTCGTAGAACAGCAGTAACCTCAAAATTTCTAGCAAAATAGTAGGCGGACCTTTGTATGTGCAAGAGAAATAAGTAAAGACTAACGCATCGAACGGCTTCTCTCAATTCCTTGACAGGAATTCGCGTGATCAGAGGGCGCCACGAATCGGTTGCCGTAAAGGCATTTTCTATTTTTCTTCTCACAGGTTCAATTTTCAATCTTCCGAAATAAAATTGATATCTGATTTCAAAAAAACCTACATCCACTCGAGGGAAACCCCCATTTGTTATGATCACAAAGAAATTAAGTGTACTTATTTTTTTTTCTGTCGCAAATTTCATAAATAAATACTTTCCCTTATGTAGAATATTTTATTGACTCGATTGGTATAAACTGCATGAAAATCGGATCATTCGTTTAGAAACTAGAAGAAAATTCGTTTCAAGTGGGCATGGATTCCTCTTAATCACATTGTAATAGCCAGTAGTCTTCTCAATCGTGAAATCCATAGCCCATCACCCTACTATAAATTATCTTTCAGTTGAAAAAGATCGAATCGTGAATGTGCATTCAATTTGTTTGCTCTGATCTTGAAAGGGTCACATATTGCAACACTTTTTTACATTTTCGCATTGCTTTCCATAAATGAACTGATTTGGTCATTTTCAATATAAAAAAAAAATAAACCTAACATGCCCTGAAAATGAAAATTATATTGTTCGAATGTGTGATAACGTGGAATTTTTGATATTTCTGCTAAAATATAATAGAAATATGTACTGGTACTGGTGAGGGACGCTTCCACGTCAGCAACTAGTCCCCAATGGGACCTTTTTGCTAACCCCAAGTGTTTTCCATGACTGATGTGGTTCGCTCAAGAGAGCTGGCTAACATCCTTTTCAGGCACCGCCCATCAGCTCTCTTTTCAGAGTTTTTCAGCTGTGTTTTGTAGGCTAGTAATGTACTCACTACCATATGCGCAGTGGCAGGCCTGCTAACTATCATCGTTAACCCCCAAGACCGAGGTCTACTTAAGCAGCTGGCCCGCTCTCACGCTCAGCTGTTAGTTTTCCACACCCACCTACATACACCGTCCTACTTCTTCTCTGATGCTCACAACCACATCATCATATCTTTCTGCGTGTTCTGTGTAGGCTTTGTTACTAACTCCATGCGCCACTTTAGGAGCAGCACTGTTAATTGGAACGCAACAGCGAATCGTGCAGGACTATCCCCAGCCGATGCTCCGAAAATTATAATAGAAATATGTCGTGAAATCCCATTAGCAAAATAAGAAACTTCGAATTCACTCTTCTAATTAATTTTTTCACGTTGCCATAATAAATACGACTTGCCACCAAAGAGTATGCACTTTCAAAAAAAACTTTCTCGTTGTGCTCAAGATAAATTACATTTGGAAATATTTGCTACATTTGTAGAATTCTAGTTTTTCTAATAAATTCAGAGACGAGCAAATCTTAGGTTTTCATTTTTTCTCTCAGAATTCTCTCATTTCATTCATTCATTCATTTCATCAAAACTACGATGTACAAACGTATAATGTTTTGCTATACCCTCTACATTCTACAAGGATAACTGATCTGATTTCGATGGTCTCGCTTCTCTATTTGATGTTGATATTTCTTTTTTTTTATGTTATAATGTATTTTTTACGTTGTAGAACGTGGTTTTATAGTGTACCAAGTAAACTTTCTTGAAAGATTTGCAGTCGGTATTTTTTCGGTTTATTAGTTTTTCCTTGAAACATTTCCATGAAAACGCCCGGCAAGCGCCCGGATTACGCCCAAATCGCATGGAGTGAGCCGGAAGCGACTTATCCATTTTTACAACCTCCCAAAGCGACTTTGACACCAAACCAACCGTGGCGCTTTGAACCTCCTCCCTGGCTCCGTTGAATCACGTTCTGTAAATATGTGAAAAATTCCGCGCGAAGAATCAAATTTTTTTGATATTTTTCATAATGCTAATGAATCAAATCAATCTAAAAATTATTCACAGATGAAGTGGAGATGAATAATTTCATCAATATGTACTTAATATACTATTTTCTCCAAGCGGCAGGGATAGTGGCTTTTTCCTGCCGTTTAACAGGCAGAAAAGGTGTACTTTTACTGACTAGGCAGAAAAACTTTGTTGCTATCGAGGTTGCAATGCTACGTTCCAAGAAATTCTAATGAATTTAGTAATCAAAATTGACACTTAACATTGGGTGAACACAACATGATGGAGTTTTGAATAAAAAAATTACACAAAATTGGTTTTATATCATTTGGAGAAAAACTTCATGTTTCACACGGCAGCAAATGTAGATTCACTGCCTTGGCTGGATGCCGCGGCAGTCAAGCTACTACTTTTCTGCCTAGTAAAACAAATAACTATTCATCCTTCACAGTCATTATATAGACAGAAAAACCCAGTAAATAGAGATTTATTAGATTAGGAAAACATAAATATTTAGCAATAAATAATAATAAATGATAATGTATAATAATCAGTATTTCCAGCTTCATGTAACCTCCTCAGCATTATTTGAACATTTAAACTATTCCATATAAAATCATCATTTGTATTACCAGGAAACCAAATTCACATTAATAATTTTTAAATTATAGTCACAAATTAATTGTACAATTATTAAATGAGGATGAATAGCTGTTCAGTCGAACAGCTTATTACCCCTGGAAATCTCGTCTTCTGTTGAATCTGTATAGAACAAAAATTTAAAAGAATCACTCGAATAAAAGCCAATTACTTTGAATCTACTCTGTTCTTAGCCGATTCAACTGGTAAATATTGGCAGGAAATTTGACGAATCTTTGGAAAATTTCAACTTGGTTCCAGTACCTCAACGATTTTGTCCACAAGTCTTGAAACATAAGGGTGGGACACAGAAAAATTTAGATTGCAATTCATGTCCATTTGGTAACTTTCTCATGCAAAAAACCGTAAAGAAACTAACACTGTTAACAGCATAATGTGTATTACCTCTGTGATAGTTGGGTACCAACTTTTGTGGAAATATTCAAATCTTGAGCATGATGTGTAGGTCATGTAATAAAATCAGATGATCAGGTATTGAACCTTTTCTTTGGAGGCGAAAAATTCTGATGAATTGTTCGTAACCCAAACCATCAGATTGATTTCCACGCTACTGTATCTTCGCCTATCTATTTGTTGCGCATCTTCCATTACGCCAATCAACATCAACTGTGCAAATTTCTCTTCCATTATGTCTTGATGTTATTTGCTATTTATTCAGATGATATGAAACTCAAAAAAGGTTCATTAGAGTCCTAAATGGTTCTCCAATATAAATAAACAATAAAAATATTCAATGACACACGTCACAAGTCAACAAAACAATCGAAAACATACAAAACGAGTGAAATAAAGCGCTCGCTGTAAATGTTCGCTTTGAAAACGTACACGCCTCAAATTTCACTGGTCAAGAATACCAAAACGTACGAAACTCTCGAAGTGCGCATACGCATCAAAAGTTCACTCGTCGAGAATACGGTCCCTGACGCTTTGAACGCTCTCCAGACGTTCACCCGTTTGGGCGGATATCCGATTGCCCATCACTAGAACAAACCCACAACAAATCGCCCCCGACTCACCATCGTCCTCAGCGACGGCTGCAACGTTTCGAAGAACGCCCCCGCGTCCACCGGCTCGTTCGGATTGGCCCGCGCTGCCGCCTGTCGCTGCTGCTCGAGCCGCTGCTGCGTCAGCACCTCCTCCTGCAGGGAGGGCGGCAGGGCGGCCAGGAACTCGGGGCTCACCTCGCTCGGGGCGGCCGCGGGCTCCTGCACGGGCGGGGCGGCCGCGACGTTGGCTGCGGAGGCGGCGAGCCGCTGCTGCAGGCAGAGGATGCGGTGCTGCTCGATCACCTCGCGGCGCATCTCGGGCGGCAGCGCCTCGAGGAACGAGGGGTCGACGCCCTCGGGGACGGTTTCTTCAGTCGAGGTGCTCGGTCCGGCATCGCCTGAATGGAATCGCCTTGATTAGAACCACGGCAAGACGAACGTCAAGCTCTCAGACTAAGGCTACGTTCAGCGGCAGGTCGGACCATGGTCAATTCGTCTCAATTCGTTCAGACCGTAGTGAGACTATGGATCAGACCGTTGTCCACGTAATCTCATTTAAAATGAGCATGGTCTAAATCGTTCAGTCCATTGTTCAAGTCAGTAAACGTCAGTTATATTTGACATGAATTTATGACATGCAAATGCATTCGAATTTGAACAAATCTCTTCGCGGGTGAGATAAATGATAGGCAGCAAGTTCAAGAGATATTGCTTTGTGCCGCAGTGTAAACAGTATAAAGATACAAAATGTATCGATACACAGCTTTTCAACCAGAAGCAAAATCATACAAAATGTGGCAGAACATATCAAAAAATGGGGGTAGCCCATTTCCAAATGTATACGTCTGTCTGTAGCAGATACTTCTTAGGAACAGATTATAAAGGTAATTTCTTTCAATTTTTTCATCTATTCATTGCTTTATATAATGTCCTTCTCTTTCAGAGGAAATCAATTCCAAATGTATATTTTTTGTGAAGCAGATGCAATACCCTTACAGAATTCACTGGTAATTCATTGCACCAAAATGTAAAACCTGTGAATAATGGATCTGAATGAGAATAAGAGTGGTCATTTTGGTACAAAACATAAATATGTCTTCAATCATTCTCCAATCTATATCATCTAATAACTTATCCTCAAAAACAGGAATGAATCTGATAATGACAAAGATGCTGAAAGGATATATAGGTAGACCTCCCTCACCAGTTTTGATGAAACTTTCACAGGACTGATCATCATTGTTGTGAATATGCCAATGAATTTTCCATGTCAGACAATCCAGTGCAATTTCAGTAGCAAATGAATTTTCATACTTTCTCAGTAATAGATAAATACAACTACAGCACCTAATTTTGTTCTATTCCAAATATAATCTAGATTATGATTTACACTATGAATAATTTAGAATTTCATCTCATTCATTCCTAATATAATATAGATTTTTGCGAATTCTTCATCAAAATCGATGCTGTTGTGAAAAGGAGTCTGTTGCAAATTTCACAAACGATGAGATTTCCATAAATTTCTTAATCACACGACATGTTTCGCTAACACAGCATCGTCAGGTGAAATACTGGTACAATTAATTTCATTGTACAACCACCATTCACCATCGGCCGATATATATTATACCTTTGAGAATGTCCACCGAATTGATTTCAACTAAAATTTCGAGACAAAAATGAAATTATCACATCAAATGGGGATTCTCATGACAACTTTGGACAAATTGGTAACATATACAAATGCATGGACCAACGTCGTTCAGAACTCCTATGCTTGGTGTGGTCCGACTACGGTGGTCTAGACCTGCCGCTGAACGTGGCCTAAATAACAATAGATTGATACCACAATTCATTCATGAGTTATCAAAAAGTATACGCCAACAACCCTAAATGCAAAACATGGATAAAATAATAAAATCGCGAATGCTTGGTTTGCTTTTCATCAACAAGGGCGAGCACTGAAACAAGACCGCCGATGGAATAAATAGCTGGAATATCAGGAAAGAATATTTGTAATTAACTTTCCTTTACAGATTCGGTACTGCCGAACCAAATTTATTCACTAAATAGTCAACTTTAGATTTTTCATAATATTAAACGAGTTACGGACACCGAAAACTAATCACACAACAGCCTGGAAACCATTAATAACAACAAAAACAAGAAATGGTATTTCTTATAACTATTATTATTCGTTAATTATAAGTAGTGATTTTCTGACAATTATGTTGTTATGGGTGAATTATTATGTTATAAACGTTGTTCGAAATTTTTTTTAATAAATTTATACCGAGTTGAATAAGAATCTGAGATATCCTCTTGAATAATCTATTTGACAGTGATTCCAGGGAAGTCCTCAGAATGTGATGTCTTTTCTGCAGAAAAAATGAGCAAATTAAATCATTCATTTCAACTAATCGAATCACCAAAATAACCGTCGTGGTCCAAAACACAGGCCGATTCGACTTACTCATGGATCCCAGTTCTGTTTTCACAGTTGATGGCTAGCCCAATCTTTCAGTTACAAATATTCCAGATGATGAGATGAACGATATACAGGATGATGATTGGATTAAATTGCAGCGGATCGCTACGTTCCCGTCTGACCATATATTAAAAAAATATTATCGACCATAATCATGAAGTTTTATGTCTTTTCCCGAAACAATTTCGGAATTTTTTTAATCAGACCCTTTATGAGATATATGTTTTTCTCCAAAATGATGCATTTTATCAACAAATAATTGATTAACATTGAATGTTCGTGATGTTTTTTGAAAAATTCACATTGTGTGGATAGTTCTGGATAATGTGAGTGTCCGAGTATAAAAACTTGAAATGAAGTAAATACAGGATGATATAATAATTATTGCGTTTGGATCAATTATGTATAAGATGTTGTTGTAAGAAAATTTTAGACGTAATTTATTACTATTAGTAACTATAAATAGTTTTTGGATCTGCTCTAGGTGTAAAGGAAGTATACAATGACATGAAACCGGAGACAGACATAGTGTGCAAATGCGAGACATTGGACCGCAAGACAGATGATGATTTTTGGGCAACCAGTCGGAGAACCAGAAGTATTTAACTCACATCAAGTAAAGATTTGTACAAAATTGTACAAGGTACAGAGATACCGGAGTGGGTACAATGAACTAGGTAAGGTACAATGTGCCACTAGGCCTTAGGTCGTCGGAGACATCTTCAGACGAGTCTACAAACGGGGTGTTTAGTGGGTATTTAGTGGGTATACCCTGGCTAGTGTCAGGAGATTCCTACAATATCATAAGATACCCATATGATGTCCATAAATGATTTCGACCACCTCGACAACAACAAAATAATGATATATTGACAAACAATAATTATCCAGTCATATTTTATAATGTCTTAGAAAGACTTATACGACACTCAAACTCATAAATAAAAGTGGACCTTGTTAACAAGGTATGTTCGAATTATCCTTAAGGAGGCGTAGTATTATCATACCTGAATTACTGTGATGTTTTAGATGGTCGCTATATCGAGAAATTGATAAAAATATGATTCAACAACCTCAAAATACATGTATTTGAATGATGTGGGCGTGAGAAAGTATTGCCACCTTCATCCACTTATTCAAGAAGATTGAATGGCTGAAAATTAATAATAATACATACATAATATTCTGATTAATTTGAAAAAAATTATAAGTAATCAAAGTTCTCGAAATCGACATGAAAAATTAAAAATTTTGTACTGTTCATAATCTCAATAATTGGTTCAAGGGAACATAAACGGTGCCGCACTAATCAATTATCAACACCCTGAATTCTGCTTCAATTTGATTTTTCGACATAGTGCACATAGGTACTGAATATTGAACACAAATTAGAATTTACCTGAGGCAGGCGGAGCATCAGTATCATCGCCTTCGGGATTCGCTGCAAGATTATTTTGACTAGAGACACCACCACTAGCGATATTGTAAGCTTCCCTTCCAATATTACTCATCGAATCCATGTGTTGACTGATTGCCTGTTCTGCCAAAGAGTCAATATGATGGCTGATCGCTTCTTCGAATATCGCCCGCAATGGAATATTTTGAGAGAAACTCAAGCTCCTTTGTGACTCATTAATCTCATTTTCTTCTTCATTTCTATCAGAAACTGAGAGTAGCGGAGAGGAACCCATGGGCCTGGCGAATATAATATTAGGTCTGGTTCGGATATCAGCTGGAAGGGCCATTTCGAAGGGATTAGACGAATCGCTTTCAGTTCGTACGTCTGATTCAGCTCTACTGTTTGAATCATCAGTGTTCCTGGTCATATTCTCTGACCCATCAATCGTTTGAACAGCTGCATTATGAGTCACCTCTGATGAGCTACTCTGGGAGTTTTCATTTGAACCTCTGATGAAGCTGAGTTGGAGAGGTGATAAGATGATATCTACGTTTTGAGTGTTGCTTTCGGTTCGATCGTTCGATGTGTCAGACGTCTCCAGAGGTACTCCATCTATATCCTCTTCACCATCTATACCCAATAAAAGGAATTCAATGAAAACAGATCAATAAAATAATGAAGTCTTATATTGACTCAACTGTTACTTGATGAGAAACGACTCATTCCTCGCAACGTTTTGCTAAAACTGTAGCTCAATCAGACTGTACAAGATTAGTTATCAGAAGAATGTCAGCAAAACATCTCGTGTTGTACTGTTACACTGACTTGAGAAATTATAAGGAGTAATAAACACAGTACTTTCATCGAAGATGATTTTTTTATATTGAGATTATTATTTTTTAGGAAAGTTCGAGAAAAATGTATTGAATATGTATTTTCGATTTGTTTAGTCCATCAAATTTGACTACAGAAAAATTAAAACCATGTCGACACAGGGCATAGGCACAATGTCGACGTTGCCGGTTTGATTCAATTATATTAATATTCATAAAATCGGGTCTGGAAACAACATATCACCCTACAATGAGAATATAATATAGTTCGAGGTTTTCCTTCTCTGAAATTAGAACTAAAACCAAAACAAACCGTCCTATTGTATATCGCAATTGCATTGTTAATGATTATAGCTTTTGACGAAATTACTGAAACTAAGAGTTTCCTATCAAAATTAAATGTGATATGGAATTCTAATTAACAGGTTTCCTAACGGAGTCAATCAGTTCCTTCAAGAAAGCTATGATTATATCTGGTAACAACTCATTATTACCCTTGATTATTTACACTTACAAGATGAACCATCCTCATGAAAGTATGAAACCAGAAATTCTATTCAATAGGGGGCGATATCTAAACTGGTCAACATTGGTACCGTCGTGGTGCATAATATAGCTGGAATTCAAAGTAGAATAACTCACGAAATTTCCTTACCGACTTGAAATCGGTTTTCACCGATGATTAGCCTAATGTCTTGACAGTTTGTTGTGGCAATATGAAACTTCTGTAATTTCAGATAACATTGCTACATGGTGATGATTGAATGAGTGTAAAATTGCATCGTGGTCGCCACCTTACCGTTTGATCAGATCATTTTCTAATTTTTTTTTCTCACCTGTATCCTCTTCATTGGTGCTTTCTCTCGAAACATTTTCGGAATTCTCAAATTCACAGCTTTGATAATCGTGTTATGAATATTTATTCAAAATAATGCATTTTTTCGGCGATTGATTGAATGAAATTGAAAGTTGTAATTCCTCTCCGAAGAATCAACGTTGCATGTATAGTGGTAGGATATGTGATCGTGTTCGAACACAGAAAATTCTGAAGAAGTCTTTACAAAGTGATACAAGAAAAACTGAATGATGGAATGGAGAATAACGTAGTCTTCAGTAGATGAAACATAATTTTCTCTGTGTTATTAGTGAAATAATGGAGTGTTACTTCGTCATGAGGATGTCTGGTGTCTGACTTCGAAATGGTTTTGTAATTTTTCAGGTCGAAGGTCTTATACCTAATGAAGGTACGCATTTCTAATCAAAATGATGAATTCTCGTTGAGATAAATTATAAATTCGGAAAATTACGATTGTAGTTCCAGAAGTATGAAATTCATATTTATTCTTGACGATGGATATACAAGGTGCGATAAAAAATATGTCCAGATTGTCCCGGGATGAAGAAGATCATGTTTTAACGTGATGAAAATCGCCATGTTTAGGAAAAGGAATATAGTGTTCGATTTTCTCACGTAATAAAAAACATAATTTTATATTGGATTCTCTTATTGCAATAAGTGATAAGAAGTATAACAACATTACTGACTTTTGATTAATTTTCACACAAGTGTGGTTCAAAAATATCACGAGATTTAAAGTACGTTAAGTATAGGTCAGTTGATAAGTAAAACAAAAAGATTTTCTGAGAACATTTACCAAAGTAATGTTGTTTTACACCATCAGAAAGTAGAAATTTCACAAGAAACACACACTTTTGAAAAAAAGCTGATGATTTGACTGGAGAATTTTCGATTGAAAATTAGGGTACATTTCCGATATCAATTCAAAATGACTTGAAAAAATAAATATTGTAAATCAAAAAAGTACAGTGTATTTGGGACAAAAATAGGTAAGTTTTACCAAATTTCGTGAAAATTTTTTTTTGTAAAAGATGAAATTGATAAACTAAAAACTTGGTTATTTGAATTTTCCACATACATTTTTAGATTATATGAAAAAAGAATAAATACAAAAGTTATAGATCTTTTTATGAACTACAACTTTGCCCGTCAACTTTTTTCCCTTAAAAAATCACCCCCTTCCACTTCCCTTATCGACCCTGGTCTACTATACATACAAGGTTAATATTTGAAGAAGAATCTCAATTAATTTTATTCAATTAATCGTTGAAAGAGTGCAACATTTTGAATGAATATTCATCACGATTATCAACTGAATTTGAAAATTCCGAAAACGTTCCGAGAGCAAGCATCAATCATCAGGAAACATCAGACAAAAAAATTATCTAATTATCTGCTCAAATGGTAAGGTGACGACCACATTGCAATTTTACACTCATTCAATTATCATCACCTTGTAGAAATTCTATCTGAAATCACTGAAGTTTCATTTTGCCACGACAAATTGTTCAGAGATTGTTGGTTAGGAAATTCGTAAGTTATTATAGTGATCGGTAAAGAAGGGTAATGGAGAATATATTCGGAGTTATTTCAAGAAGAAACGTCGCATCAGGACCGGATTAAATTATTTTTTAATTTGTCAGAATATAAAAGTTAATGATATTCCTGCATCGAAAAAAGGATATTCCTAGATAATTCAGCAACTTATTGCAAATAGAAGAACTCGAGCAGATGCAGAGAGTGTATACAAATCGGCCATATTTTGTTGAGTTTCGCTAACACCGCCTACGAACCAGCGAGAACTAAGGCCAAATTTGGTTTCAACATATAGAGGTGGATTATCCTGTTGGAGTAAATAATCAAGGTTAGTACTAGAGACGGACGTACATCACAATGACGAATTTTGTGGTAATCTCATCATACTTATATTCACTCCTTATTCAGCTACTCCGGAATAGTTTACAGCCCAAAGAATTATTCATTGATATGAAATATTCAAAGAATGCGCTACTTTTCATTTCTCATATTAGTTTTGTTTACACATTAAGGAAAAAAATAGCTTCAATCGCCTGAATTGCGTCAATACTCACCGGCTCTGGGGTTTTGCTCAACAGAAACATTTGTTGTGGATAAAGGAACTCCATCTAAATCTTCTTCAATTTCTAAAATAGTTAATCGCATTATCAATCAGTGAAATGAATATAATTAAAGCAAGCTCATGAACGCCAGACCTTGATTATTTTATAAAAGCTGAAAATTTCTCAACGCATGCTCCTAACACAGGTAAGAACTATGGGCAAATATGAAGTTTCGATCATGGTGGCTTTGGGAGGTTACAGGGAGCAAAGGTGCTAAAAATACCAACTTACTCTCGCCATACTATAATAGTAGATTGTTTTATTAGGATCACACTATGTGACAAAGTCACTCTTGAACGGAATGAAACATGCTTCTTTTTTTGCAAACGAAATATACAACTAAAATAAATATGTGAAGTAACCACCAATGTGACTTACTTGACAAATCATTATAATACTTTTATTATAATAATATAGATAGGTAGATAGAAGCAAGACCTCGGAATACTTAACAGTAGAATATTGTTGGACGATGACTTTACTTTATTACAATTTGTGTTGACATGCATCATCAAATACTACAGGTTAGAATTCAATACTATACCCGAGAATGAATGAAATACAGATCAAGCAAGTATGTGAGTCTTGAAAGCTTTCCTGATCAAAACAAGAATACTCAACTATAATATGGTGTATTTATATCTCCAGCATGGGTATGAAATGCCAATTCTGCCAAAATCGGGTACAAATCAGGTATAATAACCTCCTAAAGTTGAACTTTAGCTCCTTGGAACTGAAAGTGTTGCCTAGCAACATACCTGTTTGTGTCAGTAATAGAAACGACAATTCAAGAGCTACTTTTGGTATTAAAATTGATGACTTCAGTGTCGGCTGCAGAAAAAGGAAATTTTTTCAATATTTTATTCGGGATAATATTAGAAACCACGTCTTCCATTGCCAGACACGTAATCATGGTGCCAACCCCTTGCCAGACACGCTTAAACTTTTCTGAACTATTGTAACTTGACTTTAAAGTATAAGCTGAATTTTATTTAAGAAATACCCTTTCCAGTATGACGAAAGTTGGTATTTTCAGCCCCTTTGCTTCTGTAACCTCCCAAAGGCACCATGACCTAAGCTTCATATTTGCCCATCGTTATTACCTGTGTTGGGGGCATGCGCTGAGAAACTTTCAGCTTTTATAAAATAATGAAGGTCTGGCGTTCATGGGATCTTGGACTATAACTTCTTGAGTTTACCTTCTTTGTTTTCATTTGCAGCTTCAATTGCTGGATTGTTAGATTCATCGAAATTGAAAAGCACAGTCTCCTGACTGAAATCATCATGGACATCGGGTTCACTCTTTTGCTGCTTTCTCTTCTTCGTTGGGTCCTCATCATCTTTGGTTTTTTTGTTTCTGAGCTCTTCGTTTCTGTACTTGATCAAATTTGGAATGAGCTTGTTGCAGACATATATTGTGCAATCATAGACAGATTCCAAATCCAGCAATTTGGATTCGATATTCCACCAGTGCAAAACTGGCGGTATATGACTCAAAGTAGCGGCTAGGCTTGGACCAAACAGGTAACCAGATTGGTCGACGAAGTCGATTTGTTCCTCGTTAGATGGTATCAATCCAAAGTTGTCCATAACCACTACTCTGGCGGATTCTCGTATTTCTGTAGGACCACTTAGTAAATTATTTGCAGACATCATGTTGGCCATGTGAGGATCGTGAGGACCTAGAAGCCTTTGTAAAATGACCGGTGGGTTCGGATTTCTAGGACTGAAAAGGTATTGGTACCGCCTCGGACGATTGGTTCTCTGGTTGCGAGTAACTGTACTTTGGCTACTCTCACTTGTATTACGAGACATCAAAAGAGGGTGCGTAATGGCTAAAAAAATATTATTATAATAACATCCCGAAATTTTACAAAAATTATCATATTTGGTTTTCGAGATTTCAATAATAAAACATGAGAACATACTATAAATAACAGGAATCATTCTGCAGATGTATATTTTTAATTGGAAAAAACCGGTTCTCTCTCTCTCTCTTAGATTAATGTTTTCTAGATCTAAACATTGGATGAAACGGTTTTTGATCTTGTGAAAAATGAATTTAGGGGATGCGGCAATTGATAATAAATAGACTTCACATTTCGTATTTGTGTCATTCATTACCTGTGTGATCATTAGTGTTGTTTTCATCTAATATTGGAACTGCAAAGCCATTTTCATTCCATCTTATCATTCTGGGAAGAGCATTATCATTATCAGCATTATACTGTATCATGAGAATATCTTCATCCCTGTCATTCGTTGCAATTCTGAACATTCCTGAGTTTCCATCAAGTAATTCTGAACCTTAAACAAAATATTATGTTATCATATTATTTCACTAGCTGTTAATATCGAAATTCATTAAAAATTCAGGGGTTTGATTTTTTGTTAAACCGCTCGGACACGTCGATTTTTATCTTTAGCTGCAGTTTTTCTGATATATTTATGAACACAGAGAAGTCCAATAAATAATTCACGGCCATATTCGCTTTTTTCCTGTTCCATTTAATTTTCGAAATTAGCATCGAATTCGCTAGTTATCGACAAGTTTTTATTGAACATATCAATAACTTAGAACGATTTATTAAATAAACAGAACAAATCAATTATTCAAACTGTTGACCAATAACGATTATCGACTTGTTTATGAATTTGTAAATTCAGAAAAACATACAATTGTGTGTTTATCTATTTGGTTGTTGACTTGACCGTTAAGCCATATGGAAACTGTATGACAATTTTACTTAAAAAAATACTTGCCAAGTGCAGTTGCAAAGTTTGGCAAAATGGTGTGTTTTAAACAGAATCAAAGAATACAGTTTTTCAGGGACGGACCCATGAGGGGGGGCTGGAAGGGGGTCCACCTCTCCAATCCTAGGCGAGTTGGCAAATTGAGTTTGAGAAAGTTTCACATAAGAAAGTTTCATGTTGAATATTAATTTCTTCCGACATCAAACTGGGAATTTTCAACTTCAAAACATGAAATTTCGATTTTGTAGTCCGAATTTCCAAGTTCAAACATGAAGGAAAATTACATATCCACTTCACACTACGAACTTCCAACTGCAAACTCCAATTTTTTGACAGAGAAGAGAAGTATGAAGTCGAAAAAATTCAATTCCGAATTTCGAGTTGGATCTATCAAGTTTCAATTCGGAAAATGAAATTCCCAGTTACAGGTTTTTAATCTGAAAATGAAATACTCTGTACAAACCCCTCAGGATTTCCAACTGCGTACTCTTGATTTCCGACTTGCGAGCTCATAGAAAATGGAATTTCTTTTTGTATCTTAGTATTCCCACTTTAAAATCGAGATTCAGAAATTTCCCACTGATGAGAAAATTTCATATTGTGAATAAATATGTTCTATATTTGTTCAGTGTCTGATTGAATCAATTTTCGGGAAACGTTTTTTGATAATCCACCTAAAGGTTGATCAATTCGTAATATTTTTTGTTCAAAACGAAAATTGGAAAATTTGAAAATATGAGTCGGCAAAATCCACTTTCTGCCCTCTCCCCCAAAATGCTCCTTTCGGTTTGTCCCTGGAGATTTTGATGGTGGATATGGCTATGGCGACAGAACTAGATTACTATTGAGTTTGGTTATAGGACATGGAACATGCTACATGGAACATACTCAGAAATTGATGCAGAATTCAAAAACGTAATAGGAAAGTTGTTTCAATGTGAAGAAATAAAGTTGATGGTAGTAAGTTATTTTTCGCCTATCCTGTGTATATAAATTCACCACATCGGAAAGATCGCAGCCAAAAAAATCGAAGTATTGAACTGTTTTTCCAAAAATAAACCGACGATTATTAAATCAATTTGTACCAACCCGTGAGTCCTCAATGTATATACCTACCTCTACGTCTTTCCCTGTCATTATTGTCATCATCTTCATAGTTATTGTCTTCATTTTCTTCTGTATCATCTATATTGTCATCATCGACTTCATTCTCTTCATTCCCATCATCGTCAACTTGGTCTGAAGGATTAGAATCCGATTCACCTGAGTCGGTGCTCATTAATTCTTCCTAAAATGTAAAAGATATTGAATGAATGATGGACATAAATGTTTTATTATACGTACTGTTGCATCTCGTTCATGTTCATAGCCAATGGTGGATTCTTCATCGATATCCATGGTGTTATTTCGTGAAGAAGGAACATCATTGTATCCCTGACTATTATCAGTGTTCCTATGATCCAAAATGTGTTCCATCATCTCTTCAAGAGCATTATCCAGTTCAACAGGAGCCACTGGATTACTTTCTAGGCTCGAAGCTACAGCGGAAATGTCATGTTCCGTGTTTTCCGCATCTTCAATCTCTTCTCCATGAGCAATCGTGCCCTCCGTGTTGACACCACTTTGTGCACCTTGATTCTCATCAGCGGTTTGTTGATTTTTTCTTGATTTGCTACTACTACCGCCTGGGGCAGGTTGGTTTATTGTCCTAGATAGTGAATCTAATGGCTTCAATGCTGCATTAGCCGTGAATGAAGTATTAGGTGACGATAAATCTAAGTAATGAGTGATTTTCGCCAAATCATTGAAAACGCCTCTTCTAATCATAAGTTTCACTATATTATTGATACTACAGCTTGTCCATCGATTAGCGTGTGGCAAAGGACAATTATCTATCATGGTAGATATTATTCCACATATATTCTGTACTTGGTTATGCTTTTCAGAAGATTCTGGGAGATATAGTGCCCTGGTCAAGGCCACTTTTACTTCTGAAACCAGAGTGATCTGAGCATCTGGTGAGTGATTGGATGACGCCAAGGCAGCTATCAACATTCTGCACATTGTGGAACAATCAGGGTCAGAAATGTTTTCAGAAGCCGGTAGGATCTTATCAAAAATGAACGCTAATGCAGAAGTTTCTTCAGTTATCATAGTAGATTCGTCAGGTTTGTATTTATATTCAGTAATCAGCTTGGCGATTGGCCCAAACGAAACAACAGCATCAGCCAATATCTTGAGGATAACTGATTTAGGCAACATGGGCTTCTTAGTAGAAATAGAAACTGCTTCTTCACTTTTTTTACTACCATCTTCAGTAGAACTCTCAGAGTCACCAGTCTGAGTACTGGTGGACGCTGAAGTCAAATCCAAGTTGACAGGAGACTGTTCTCGTTCTTCAGTTTTATTATGTTGTTCACTTCCAACGCTTTCAATTTTGTCATCCTCCAAAGGTTTCAACAGTGCATCCAGCAAGTCACACACGACTTCAATGGAAACTGTATCCTCTAATGGGGGAGCTTTAGCACGCGCTGGTATCTCAACTTTCAACGGCAGAGTTATTTCTGGAGGTTCACCTTTAGTTGCATTGAGATCCACTCTCACAATACTATTCGCTACTTCATAAAAAGCTTCTGGTTTGCGAGTAATGGCTCCACCAATCTGTCGAGTCAAGTAAACCAGGTCTTTATATGGAGGAGGAATAGTGACAAGAGTTCTCCCCCTGATAACTTTTTCGATAGCATATTTGAGTGTGTTTGGTTCTTCAAGGGCGTGTCTTATGAGGATAGTCGCAAGAATTCCAAATCCTCCAAAATCGCTTATCTGCCTCATCTTTAAGAGACACTTCACACCGCCATTTTCAACGAAAACTTTGGCTATCTCAAAATCCCTAGTAAATCGAACACAAATTTGTAAAAGTGAATGTAATAAATTTTTGTCAATCGGCATGTGCATCAAATTAACGCAGACTCTGACTATCTCTTTCTTTTGCTCATAACTAAGTCCAGGCACTGGAACACACCGTTTCTCTTCTTTTTCGGTTAGTTTAGCAACCATGTGTTCTTGGACATCTGAACTGTTAATGTCAGTACAACTTGGATGAGTAAGAGTCATCAAAGTCATGGATATGGGTCTGTTGTTCCCAGTTTCATCATTCATTTGTAGCATATTAGCAAATGTCACTGTGTACCTCTTTCTACCACACGTAACTCTAATGCTCTGTTCTCCATTCCAATAAGCTTCATTGATCAGCTTATTGTTGGTATTAGAATAGTGTGTCCATTTTCCTGTAACCAAGTCATACCATCTCCATACTCGGTTCGTACTCATATGCATGTCTAACTTGCGACTAGTGCAAGTAGCCACTTTGGATATAGCATCTAGTAATAAGAAACTAGATGCAAGCCATTTAGGTTCGCAACTAACTTTGAGATCGATCATCATATTTATAGCTCCGCACATCAACTCAATCAAAGGAGCAAGCAAGTTAGCTTTATTGATAGCAAAACCACAAGGTATTTTCATCTCAAAGTAAGAGGATACCTCGAAGAAGAGAATGTAAAGATGAAGGTAGTTGGATAATCGTTTTGCTTGATCAGATTCTGATATAGTGAAGTAATTCATCACATTTGGTTTATCCTGGAAAGCACAGTATCTGATTCCTTCCAAGCACTCTCGAATTTTAGTCAACAAAGTGTCTAATAAATTATCTCTGTAAGAACGGCCATTTCTCTTCATGATGGTCACCAGTAAATCACAAACCTTGTGAACAGTTTCAGGTATAACATCCAACAGCTTTAGACAGACATCTAAGGCATGATTTGTGAACTCATTAATCAAGGTTTCAAAAGACTGATCGGCTTCTTCTGGGGCTGGGGCCGACGCTGTGGCTAAAGCTGTGACCTGAGCGTCTCGTTTGCTCTCAGTTGTATTAGAACAACCCAGAGATATAGCTATTGCTTGGAGAACTTGATCATCCTCAGTTTCAACTTCCATGGGGTTGCCAGTAGGACGTGTGGCCTGAGGTGGATTAGAAAGTAAGTAGTCAGTCGCTTGCTCGAGAGTGTGTGAATGCAAAAGAGCTTCGATAGCATGTTCCCTGGAGAAACCCATATCCATCAGTTGTCGCAAATTGTCATCAATGTCTCTGAACGACGGTCCAGCTCCGCCAGACGTTCCTGCGCCGGCGCCAGCATTTGTTTCAGTTTTCGACTCGTCAGATTTCATCTTCTCCTTAATGATTTTCTCGCCCCTGAATATATGACGAAGAATTGTCAATAACGTTTCTGTTGTTCTTGCTCCATAAGAAGCTAATGGTGTTTTTCCCCAGAGCAACATTACACTTTCAAAAGCTAGCTTATGTATTTGTATCAAGTATTTCAGTGGATCGAAGCTGTAGCTATGAGATGGCCGACTAGAAATTACATGTGGTGACTCTAGTATTGCCTTCGGATTTACCACTTTTTCAAGAAGGGTCAGCCAAGCATCTAAAAATCCGATGGTACCTGCGAACAATGATAACCATGAAGATTTCAATTCAATTCTCATAATTAGTTACGAGGCAGAAAAATGTAATTGTTGAAAAAATATTTACGCTCAACTCACCCTCTGGTAGGGAAGAATACTCGATCTCCTCATCTGAGTCCAATTTACCAGCATTCAACGCCCATTTGAAAGTTTTGAAGAAAATAGCTTGGCCACCAAGGCTGACAAACTTCTTCAACATGAGATGATAAGGATAGCGTCTCTCATCAAATAGCATAGGACTAGTAAATCCAACGCTGCATATCAAGAATGTAAGCCTACACTTGGCAGTAGAGCAAGGAGGCAGCTTGTCGCAATCAAGCCCTTCTGCAAGTAACACGTTCAAAGCTGTTGCCACATTTCTCGCATAAGGAGATGGCATAGGAGGAGCTGCTACGATATTTTGACCACGTCTCTGTCTTATAGGAGACCCAACACAGAGTTTGACGAGCAAACCGAAAAGTTCTGCGAGGGCTCTACCGAGTCTCGATGATGCACCCAGTAGCGGTTTAATATATTTCAGATTCCTGTTGTCTGGTTTGGTTATGCTGGAACCTGATTCGCTGTCAACGTCCATCGATATTGGAGGTGGGTTCGTAGTAAGAGCTTCCATGGCAGAGGCAACGTTACCAGTACTGTCTGTGGTAGAATTACCCTCACACTGAAAGATATAGTTATTCTCATAACGAGCACAAGATGAGAAAAGAATCATGCAGGTGTAGTTAACCGGCGAACGAAGCGAAGCAAAGTGAAGTTACAACCAATACAACATCAAACATGATTCATTCCTACGACCAAGGCAATGGGCCTCAATTGTTGAATATATACACTGATTGCATAGTTTGATGATACTAGCTAGATTCAGACTTGCTCATCTGCAGGAAAGTTTTTATGTTCGTTGGTGGTCCTAAGAAAAATAAGAACCGCGTTTGTACTAACATGACGGTTTGAAATTTTCATAAAACATCATTATACATTTTGTCTCTATAAAAGCACTGCAAGCCATAACTCAGCTGTTCTATAAAATGTTAGATTGTTTAATTTACTTTCAATGGGATTTTTCACAATGGTATCAAATATCAATTTACATTATTGAATTCAGAGAAAAATGAATCTAACGAATCAATGGTTTTCAAGATCAAAACAAAATATATATGAGCACAAAAAATGCCAGACAATCAACTTACCCTATCAAAAAATGCGTTCAACTTCTCGATGTCCTCTCTAGTAAAATCACAATCAGATGGTAACAAATCATCACTGCAATATGCCAAGAGAAGTGTACTCTCCCACACTAATGAAGTATAGAGATCGGCAAGCCCTTTCAGGACCTTGAGTCCAACGTCCGAGCCCCAATGTTGCAGTGAGAGATTCCTGATCTCGGTTTGTCCGGTACGACAAATATGAACGAACATGATAACATAACCATGAGCAGCATTCATAGCATGTAAGAGAGGAGTGGCTGAGGCAGTGCTGAAAGCGCTTTCTATATCAGAAGCACTAGCAAGTTCAAGCAATAGCTTGGATCCACCAGGCACTTCTTGCTTGGCATACAGGGGTTTGAGTTGTTCAAGAACTTCTCCGAGCTGTGACAATCCATGGCCGAATAGTAACGGCTCGTGTGCTAGGTTCAAGATGCTCTTGCAAACTGTGGCAACAGCCTGAGCAGGGTTGGTGACGGGACAATCAACTGGTAGGTTGGGCAAACCGAGTATCTTCAATAGCGGTACTAGCCCACCTTTTTCCACAAATTCTCTGCAATGATCATCTGTTGAATTGTTACTCAAAATGGCATCAATAAACTTCATGGCGTTGAGGATATAGTCGATGAGAGCTATCGGTTGCCTTTCGCTGTTGGCTTGAGCTTGGCTCTCTGTCTGAGCATTTTGCGAAGAAGTTGACGCCTCTTCCTCATCTTCTTCTTCTTCATCAGAAGAGCCTTCGGGATTAGTACCAGATCTAGATGTTGTAGAAGGTGAAATCTCCGTTTTGCTATGGGGTCTCCAACAAACATATTTTGGATCTGTTCCTAAGTGGACCAATTCCACAAGGAGTTTGATTATGGCACGCGTTGCGTCTTGCCTAAGACTCGGTTGGTGGCGCATTAGTTCATCCATAGCGTTACCCAAGTTACAAGCGGTATCTGCAGTAGCTTCCGAACTGCGCCTTCTTCTCATAGCAGGCAAATAGTTAGGAGACACTAGAATATTGAACAGCTTCTCAAAAGGCTTGCACTTAGCAAACGATTCTAATCCACGATTGTTCAGACATAAAGCGCTGAACACATTTGGCAGAGAGCCCAGTACCTCTCTCGTTGAAGGTACTTCTTTGACCAATAGGGAATGTAAGACAACATCGGTCAGGCCGTTGTCTTGTAGTGCAGATAGCAGAGCTGGTTCTTGATAAACGTAAACTGTAACTACATCTGTAGCTAACAGAAATAGGGACGGTCCATAATATTCAGTATTAGCGATTATGTTCTTCAATGAATTAGGTAAACTGCCTTCCATAAGGTGTCTAATGCTTTCAGCGAAAGTCGCATCTTGAAACGCTTTCTTCAAAAAGTTCAACATGGATTTCAGAAGAGCGGCGCGCTGAGGAAGGCAAGTTTTGCCTATATTCTCTGTAATGTATTCCAGGTCGACAGATGACGGTTCTTCCTCGTTACCGGCAGACGAATTACCAGCGGCATTTTCGTCGAAGGTTTGTTCTGGCAAATTTGTCTTTATTTGATAAAGCTGGTCTTTCTTGCAAAAATTCACTTCAATCTGCAATGAGGTAATAAGTTACCGACAGTTACTTCTACGAGAGATAATATACTTACATCAAGCCGGTTGATAAAACTATGTAATCCTCCATGTATTTGAAAAGCTGCCATATCAATGTTGGTTATCAAATCAATAACTCGAACGGCACGAGTGACGAACTAAAATTGAAATTTCAAGTTTAACAATGAAACTGAAAGTTTCTAGAGATAATTCTCACTGGAGTACTAAAAACATACATTTCTAGATCTGCCAGTGAAAATAATGATTTAATTGGAAATTTAAAATGCTGCTAATTCATCGACAGATAGAAGCTAATGAGTTCAACAATGATTTTTCGTATTATTTTATTCCAAATGTACAGGGTGTTTCAAAAATGCATATTATTGAAAATTTCAAAGTCTATCAACCATCCCCAAACCCTGCAAATCCTATCCAAGACCGCCTTCACAAAAAATCATCAGATTGATATGAGTATTTTATACAGGGCATTTCATTGGCAAAGGGAAATATACCATTTCATTTATTTTACAAGTTTCATAACCAAAATATAGAATGTTTTATTGATTTTGCCAATTCCTCTATTGGCGGGTCATAACTAACGAATCATCCAGTATATATTCTCAATATTTGGCACACATGTTTTTCCACTACCAAAGCGACTAACATACTAGTCCGGATCAAAATTCAATAAAACCGTTGTTTTATCGAAACAACACCCTGTATTAATTATTAAAATTCGTTTTCAAATTTGAAGAATGCACAAAAATAGAATCCTGAGTTACAGTTTCATCACCCAAATTTCGAACTTGAATGAATAAGTATTTTTCTGGACTTGAATGGTTTGAAATGGAATAATTATGAAAAAATATTGAAAAAAATTGTTGTGCAAAGCACCGGTTAAGGGTCAGGTTAATTATTGTAAAGGGTCCTGTGCCCCTGTGAGACCGTGCATAATCAAAATTCAATGGCAAACAAGTCAAATAACTACTCAAAAACCAACCTACATCATGTAGATGATGTATGTTAGTTCACAGCATCTAGATAAAGAAAAAAAATAAAAACCAAAAAATGTTTCTTCTTCAGTCCATTCAGACTGTTTTTGGTATTTCATTAAAATGTTCTTTTGTTTTGGGACGAAAATTAATATTTTACTTTTACCAACGATGTTCACGAAGACCTGATATTGAATGTTTTAATTTAAAAAAAACTGTACGCCTCTTGTACATCTTGTAGCTCAAAAACTAACAGGTTTAGGACAAATGTTGATATACACTTTTCTCCTCAAAATCGCCCGAGGATTCACACCATGACTTATTCAATTAATTATTACCCCGAGAGTGATATATTCCTGATATGGGTAGGTATCCATCTTCTAGATGCCTATTTGTCTGGGCCTGGTGCGACATATTATGATTTCAAGTTTTTTCTGTTTCAGGAAGGAACAATATCGATGTTTCAACCATACAGATAACTGTCTTATTATAATAACTAAGTAGAGGCTTTACAAATTTATTTCCTAGTTCATGGACCTATGAAGCAGAATAACCAAATGATCTTTCTCAAAATATCACTGTGGGATCATACTTAGTTTCTCAGATCAACTTCTCTGTCTCTTGATAATTCCAGAAAAAAATTGGCATGACCTAATAACTCCTGTAAAATAATTGGAATGTCAATATACAATATTGTTCAGATTTTTTGAGTAACATTAAATATACGTTATGAAGTAACATTGATTTTATGTTATTTATGATATAAACTGGTCAACATTGATACCGTCGTTGTGCAAAATATAGCTTGGAATGAATTCATAACAACTCACGTATTTCCTAACCAATTTGAAATCGGTTTCCACCGATGATTAGCCTAATCTCTTGGTATTTTGTGGTGACAATATGAAACTTCAGTGATTTTAAATAAAATCGCTACACGGTTATAATTGAATGGGTGTAGCTGCATTGTGGTCGTCACCGTGCAGTTTGAACAAATGTTTTCATTTTTTTTTCCTGGCCTGCAACCTGATGATTGATGCTTGCTCTCGAAACGTTTTCGGAATTTCCGAATTTAGAGCTTTGATGATCGTGATAGATCACTCAGTATTTTTTGTATCACTTTGTATAGACTTCTTCAGGAGTTTCTGTATTCGAACACTATCACATATCCGGAGACTATACATACAAGGTTAATTAATCATTGAAATTTGGTTAGGAAATTCGGGATGAATTCAGGTTATATTTTGCACCACGACGTTATCAATGTTGACCAGTTTATTTAAATAATATTTACCATTGAACATAGGTGGTAGGGCGTTTGCATAATAATATGCTGTCACATTTTCAGTTTCAGTTTCATATAGAACATCCTGTACTTTATTCCATACTTGATTAGACATTATCAAAGGTATACTACGAGACTTTCAATTTTATCAATTATTTTGTCTTTTCCACGAGAACTTTTTTATTTTGACAAGGATATGAAAACAAACCGATTGATGAAATCGTGATCTGAATTAAATTTTTTTATGGTTAAATTGATTTTGCGATACCTACAAGCGAGAATGCGTATGTAGCATAATCTTTGATAGGAATAAAATACCATTCATGTAATTGAGTTGATCTAAAAGGTTGTACCTACTTACACATAAGATAGTTCAAGAGGAACAAGATAGCAGACATAAGTAAGTCTGGTTAATTTTGACAGTTCAATGTAAACAAGGTTTCATCAGAAAAGAGCTATTTTCTCAGTATAATACCGAATGATTGGTTAGAATCACGCATTGCCATTGGTTGAAATTACCAAAATATCAAATTTCGACATGTGAAAAAAGAATCATAACAAATATGACTCGTTTTTGGGTGTTATTGAGCAACTACGAAGATTTGGTGGAAAAAACTGTTCCATTAGCCTTTAATGACTGTGCCAGAGGATTAAACGTATTTTCAAGGTTTTTCTCAGTCACACAATTAAGATGAATCCCAGTTGAACCCAGTAAAGTTGAACCAAATAAGGAATATTTTCTTCGATATGCAATTATGAAACACCCAGTATAATATTGATTCAAAATCCAATTCACCGTAATATGATCTAATTCGAATCCTTGCCAATTGATCACTTGTAGGAGCGACTCCATCATCCCACAGGAAACCAGAGCTTCGCCACCAGACTCATAGCTGGCTAAATGATACAAGAAAGAGAACAAGGCAGTAGTTAAGCTGACAGGAAATTTGTAATCTAGAGCTGCGGCAGCCAACAGGTCCAAACAACCCATCAGACCAGCGGCGTCAGACTTAGTTTCTTGGCCACCAGATCCGGTTCCTTCAGTTTTGCACGAATCACTACTAGACTCGTCCTGGGACGAGAACGAGGCCTCATCTTGTAGTTTCATCTTTTTGAATGCCGTCTGACCGAAATCGATCTGATTCGTTAGGGACGAGATACAGTTCCTGACGAGAACTGGCAAGAATCCATGGTACTGACTGGCTCCTGTCACATCTATTATGCTGTTCAAACGAGAGCCTGGGCGTCTACTGAAAAAAATAATCATTGCTCTTCGGTACCTATCAAACAACAAATTTCATTCCCGAAGTATATCTAATTGATTTTTGTTTCAGTGGAAATGGAACACATGATGCTAATGTACAAAATGATTAAGGAATTAGTTATTTATACAATTAGTAAGTAAAAATATTTTTTTGTGAAGGAAAAAAAGGTTGACATATCATATCTGCCGACAGGAAATAAAATGTCACTTTTCATAAATTACTTGTCCCACGGGAAGGAAGTGAGTACTTTTTTCCTAGATATATATACAGTATGATGCAAATGTATGGAATAAATTCATTATTTCATAAATGGGCGACATTTGAAGAAATTCCAAAAACACGTGTTTTAATTTTTGAAGCCTCATCTCATGACATTCATATGAGAGATGTTACGTCACTGGTGTAGAAGTAATGACGTAATGGACGATTTTTTCAAATACAAGCAGGGGTCATGTGACACCTCGTTTGAAAGGTATACTGATCGTCTATTCAACAGTCAAAATTTCGCATAGGAATATTGCAATTAAAATGGATTATCATTTGGTTAACTGAATCTTGCAGAGGTCTGCTAATGAGAATTGAACATCGAGAAAAATAAAAAAAGTTCTGAACTCTAGTTTTTGGATTTTTTTCGTAAGTCGTCTTGTTTTGAAATGAATTTATTCCATACATTTGCATCATACTGTATATATATAAATATACACTGTTGATGGCGTTTGTTGTGCTTGTTCCGAAAAATAAGTGAATAACACGGTAAGTTCTTTTATTTTCCATTCCCCTTTGGGGTAACGTGAATTACTAAACAACCACTGAGTTCCCTATTTCTTAAAATCAAATCTCAGAATAATTATTCACCTCATCATTGGGATCTCCGTAACTGTGAGATACAGATTCGCTTAAATCACGAAAGTTTCAGCAAATTCAATCGTGATTCAGAATCCGTGAAGAAATCTTAGCTTCAGTCATTTTTTAGTTATTCAAGAAAAACTGACATTTTCTGCTTTGGTTTTTCTCAAATATCTCGAAAACTATTGATTGTATGAAGAAACAACTTCAACGTTCAACTGTTAGTGATCTTTCAAAGGAAGGCAATTTGATGCTGATTTCAAATCTGGAAAAATCCAATATGGTGTCCGGAAGAAAAAAATAAGTTGAAGGTCATATCTCAGCAGCTTGACATTTTGAAAAATAAACTCACAAAACCATGCAAAAAATCACTAAAAGATACCATCGGAATGTTGAAGTTGTCTTTTCATACAATCAATAGTTTTCGAGATATTCGAGAAAAACAAAAATACAAAATTTCAGTGTTTCTTGAATAACTCAAAGATGATTCTTCTTCTTAATTTAACCGACTCTCTCTATCTCTTACAGTTACCGAGATCCAAATGGTGAGGATCGAATTTAGGAGACACTGTATATTGAATTTTGGACCATCTAAGGCGTTTGCTGATACACGTTTATGTGAATTCATTACATCATGCATGATGGGTAAATGATTCTTCTCAATGGCTTCATAACTACTGAAAATCAATCAAATTAATTCAAGAAAACTGGAACAGTCAAAGCAAGTGTCATCAAGAGGACGTATCGCTTATCGACGTATAGTCTATCTATTGGAATATCTTGTGTCCATTTGTATATTAAAACTGAATGTGGGTAGAAGTCATTTGTCGAAATGGTGTTTTTCCTTCTCACTTATCAAGATCACTTGGACGGCTATAAAGTCTCAAGTATGGATATGTTTATTTGTCAGAGATCAAGTACCACAAACGAGCTCTGGTAAAGCAAAAACAGCATGTCCGGTATCTGTGACGAAAAACATATCCCCGTTATGTGTAATCTGAACATATTACTCATCAATTAATCAACTGAAATACCTCGGAAATGAAATTATCATGCAATTCATCGATAAACTGATACTTACTTTGGCATATGTGGGTTTCTGTCCAAATGTATGATTGCTGTAAGGGTACGGAGAGCGGCACATCCAATATCAGTTAACTTTGGGTCTTCCAATTCGACAACTTCAACCAGCTCTTCTAGTAGACCATTGTATAAGAGATTGGAAGGCGAATCTTGTATAGCATTAGAATAAACCATTACGGACAATGCCTGCAAGCGCGCTTGTACGCTCTTCAACCTGTTTTTGTAATCGGCGAAATGGGTTGCCAATCTAACGTGGGTAAATAACCACATCTACGGGGGTCATAAAAATAAATATATTTCAATGAAGAAGTGAGTCAAAGCAGGTACTGAAACTGGCAATGTCAGGAAATTTCAAGTTGAATCAATGAGATATTTTTTTAAATGATCCAGTTTTAGGTTACTGAACTAGTATTGAATTGTTCACATTCCACAATTACACTGTATTGTTACAGACCCCAAACGATTTTTCATACACTTTGAATATTTTTATTGCAAATTATGAGAATATGGGCTGTTCAAAGTTGTTAAAAATTAAGGCCTGATTCCGCCAACCGATATCGATGGAATCAGTTGTTAATATTGCTACGTCAACCTCAACAAAAGTCGGCCAAACTCGGCCAACACGTTGCCAAGTCGCAAATTGTAGTTGAATTGTTTGGAAATTGTACGCAAGTATCATCAATCGAAGTATCCACAGTAGAATTCACGAGTCGACAATACACGAGAACACTAACATGGACTACTACAGAAGAGAACACTAATTACTGACTCATCACAATGAGCAAAAAAACACACAGAATTTTTCAAATGTTTTATTCCTTCTCAATTTTTTAAAATTAATAGAAATGCTCCCGTTAGAATACGACGGAAAATCGTACGCGTTACTGACGTCACAGTACTATTTATATTTTAACATTCATTCATGCTCTCAAAATTCAACAGATTTCAATATTGTCATGGATGAACTGAGCAAGGCAGTTTGAAACTCACTTGCGCTCATGTTTTCTTATAAACTGGATTTTGACATATTATGACAGATAAACTCAGTCATTACCACATAAAATGAACGAAAATGGTAGATAACGAGAGAAAAACAACTACTTTCCTGGCTATATGCCACGCAGAACATTGGATTACATCCTCCCGAAATCTATGCAATAATTCGTATAGACGAATGTAATCGCAAGTATTTCCTTCCTAAACGCCGAGCTGCGCCTAAGTAGTTCAGGAACGTGTGACTACCTGCAGACCGGTTTCTAGCTGTTGGTTCTTGTCAGTACAGGGCTGTCCCAGATAGCTTCTTGACCGCTATCTGGTGCGAACCTGACCCAACGTAAACACATCTCAGCATTTATACCCAACGAGGCGTTCGAAGTCAGCGACATGAAATGCGAACGCCGAACACCACCGGGCAGGGAAAGAAACCCTCCAAAACAAGATCCCATTTCAGGCGAAATGGGAGTGGCTGGTTGCCCGACTGGCGTATTTTCAAGGGGGGAAAAAGCCAAATACTCAAACCAACTTTAGTAAGGAAGCATTTGCGATTTTATTCGTTTATACGAGTTATTGCATAAATTTCGGGAGGATGTAATCCAATGTTCTGCGTGGCATATAGCCAGGAGAGTAGTTGTTTTTCTCTGGTTATGTACCATTTTCGTTCATTTTATGAACTATTGTGGTAATGAGTTTGAGTTTCTCTGTATTTTTAACCATTGCATTCCACTTTGAGTATTTGGCTTTTTCCTAGTTGATAGATATGATTGTATAAACCTCGGTAAAAACGTTTAAACGAGTATTTGAACGAAGTTTGTCGCTGCTGATTGAACTTACAAGCTACAACCTACTCAATTATTAATCATATCAGATATCAACATGTAGAATTGGCATTGGGGTAAACCCTATATTGATGGCATTTATTACATCAATGAATTTAGAGGGAAGAATGGAATGACACAACACCTGGCATGCCTCCTCCCAATGAATCTGGTACAAGGATGGCTCTAAATTTGAGGGCAGTTCAGGTGCAGGGGTATACAATGAAGGAACAGGAAGAGAAATCTCGGTTCCTTCGGGCGAATATACCTCAGTGTTCCAGGCTGGAGTACTTGGAAAACCTGATCATGAGAGGTCGAAGACCAATCACTATACGCTCGGACAGCAAAGCTACAATACTGGCTTTGCGATCCAATAGGATCACAACCAATTTGGTGTCTGTTATTTCCAAATGTACTGTAACATCTGGCAACTATGTGTTTCACTCACTGAGTCATGATGTCAGTCGTTATGAGTGGCACGTTACGATCGTTTGAATGATACTGTGATTACATTTGTGATTTTGAAACCATAAAAATATTGATAACATTTTCGAAAATTAATGAAATTAAAAGCATTGGTGTGAAGATTAAAAATAAAAAAAATCAGTTCACTCGCCCATTATTCAGTGAGAACATCAAAAAGATTCAAACAACTTCAACAGGTACCGTTTGCTACTCCACCTATCATCTAAAATTGTTATAAATTGGTGATATTCTTACGCAATCTAAATTAAGCGTGCAATTCGGTTTTCATTAATCGAAAAAGACTGATGTCTACGTACCTTACTAGTGGGAACTTCGCCTCAAAGCTAAATGTCGTGGGACCATGACACTTCGCCGAATGGACAATAAGTCACCTATTGGCCAAATCACCGGATTTTTTTGCAAAACGCAGGAACATATCGGTGGACACTTTGCCAAAAGTGGTAATTATGCCAAAAAATGCCAGTGAACAAGTTGCCGAAAGTGGCTATGACACCGACACAGCTATTCGGACACTTTGCCTAAAATAGACATTCTGCCGAAACAGCTGTTCGGACATTTCGCCGAAAGTGGTTAAATTGCCGAAATAACTCTTTGTGGATTTTTTTTCATTTTTCGCATCGTACTTGAGAAATATTTTTCGAAAAACTAATTGAGAGAACAAGGGATACCATTTTTCCTAAACAATCTAACCTAACTCGGCCTTTTTTTATGTTCTGGTTCCCACCAAAAGGGATATCCTGTAATGTTCAGAGAACATCGTGAGAACCAAGGGAAATAAAGTAGGAGTTGGTGTTCTTCTTGAATTTCTGGAGGTTATATGCCTCGGGGAACACCTCCCTTGGCAATGTATTCCAGAGCCTCGCTGTTCGTTGGATGAACGAGTCTTTGGAAAGAGACGTTCTGCAGGTCTCCAAAGTGACCACGAAGGGGTGCGAAGCCTCACTCGACGGGTTAATCTCGCGGGGACTGCCAAGGAAGGAACAGTTGTTGATATTTCAGAAGAGCATCGTCCACGAGAATATCTATAAAATAGAGCCAGATCGCCAACTTTTCTACCGTGTTCCAGAGAAGTGAGTGAGTTTGTGAGCGATGCATCACCCACGAGACGAATTGCCCTTTTTTTGACAGAATCCAACAGTTTCAGGGTATGTTTGGGTGCTGCACTCCAAATATGGGAACAGTATTCCAGGACAGGTCGTATCTGTGCCTTATAGATCATAAGCAGCTGACTGGAAGTGAAATAGCTCCTGGTCCGAAACAGGAAACCAAGTTTCTGGGATGCACTTTTAGCAATTGATCTCACGTGATTTTCCCAAGAAAGGTTATTGCTGATAGTGATACCAAGCATCGAAATGGATTTCTTCAAAGGTATGGTTACTCCTGACAAGCATATGTTGGGCATAGTGAGATCGGCTTTTCTAGAGAAAAGGCATGCTTGTGTTTTGTTTGCATTGAAATCTACCAAGTTTGGATCCCCATTCGAGAATGGTTGCCAAGTCCATATTTATGTTGTCAACATTTCTCCCTCGTTCGTTTCTGATTTGCCTGGCTGGAATTGGAGCCCTGGAAGAGAAGGCGGTATGGAGGGTACTATCATCCGCGAAGCTGTGTACCGGCCTAAATGAACCTTCTTCCTAGGGAGCATATTTTTCGGAAAATATTCTTTTTGTATAAGAAATAGACTTCTTTTTTATCATTTGGAACGCACGATAGAGAATCCCTATAACGTTCGACGAACAACGTGCATGCCTAGGGAGGATAGGGAGAGGAGATAGGTATTGGATTTTTTTTTAATTCTCGGAGGGAGATTATATGTTCTCGGATATACTTCCATTGGCAAAGAGAAAATAGAGGCTTGAGTTTTGGCGGCGTTGAATTCAACAAGGTTGTTGGTTCCACAGGCAGTAAATTCAGCAAGATCTTCATTGGCAGAGTTAACCTGCCTTCGTAGAGAGTTCTAAGTTTCCTGGGAAGAAATGGGAATTCTGGAAGCGAACACAATATGGAGAGTACCATCGTCTGCAAAACTGTGAATAGGGCAAGCGGTTACTCCCAACAGATCATTGATATGAAGTAGGAACAATTTTGGTGCCAAAATTGATCCTTGTGGAACGCCGGATAGGGTATCCACCACATGGAGCCATCTGCCTGATATAAAACTGGTTGAAAGATGAAAGCTTTTTCGGCGTTTTGACCATTTTCAGCTATTTGTCTACAGGCTTAATGACCGGTATAATGACAAGTTGCGACAAAGTAACCACCAATACGTTTCGTCGTATGACAAAAAATTTGTCGATTTGTCTATTCGGCGAAGTATTTGGATCCCAATGTCGTATCAATAGAGTGATGGAGTTTTTTGTACATCAATTACGGAAAGGATTGGTGCCGTAGTGGCACAGGCGCCAGGATTGTGATCAAGGTAGTGACCTAACCAATAAGATTACTTCGTGCAGGTATAAGACGACTTTGAAACGGTTATAGCCCATACAACAGGCAGAACAGGAAACTTCGACCATGTAGAAAAAAAAAGCACCAAAATTACACATGTAAAATTCACAAAAATTCTCATAGTTCGTCATTAACACGCAATGCAAAATCGCTGACACAGTCATAGACCTGCGCTTGCACTTTCTGTGGTAGCAGGTCTAGTGAGCTGGAGTCAAAATACAGGGTGTTATTTAAGTACGTGGCCAAACTTGAAGGGGTGATTCTTTGAGTGGTTCTAAGACGAAAAGTTCATATAAACATAGGTCCGGTAATGCTTCGTTTTCAAGATACAGGGTGTCAAAATTTTTAAAAGAAATCGTTTTTTTCGTAAATATCTTAATAACCCTTCAACCGATTTTATTGAAATTTGGCAGTGTTATTCAAGGTCGTAAAGGGCTAATTTAACCCTAACTATATCAAAATTATCATGTCCAGTGGCGTCCCGGAAGGCACTGTAACCAATATTTTTGACAGAAAAAATGT